CTTATGAGAGAAATTTTCTCCTTCAATTGCAATATTTCATTCTTTATGTTGGCAATTCTGTAACCATTGGTTAAAGTTAACCGACGTTGAAAAAAGTAGCTTTTAGAGTAATAACTTTATTTTTAACACGTGATACATATGTACAATAATTCATTTAATCTTTCACATATTTTTTATTAAATTAGTAATTTGTATTAAATTGTAACGTTACTTTTCTAATATGAATGTATACTATATCACAATTAATCCCACATTGATCACATGGTGAACATCTTGATCATATATATAATTATATAATTTGTATATATTCAGGTTAAAAAGAATAATTTAAATTTCTTTTTATTCATGATAAAAACACAATACAAATAATTTATCTAACGTTTATGCAATAAGTGCGTATATTATAGCAATTTTCTTTCATTTTCATTTTAATATATTTAACAAAATTTATAAATTTTGTTTTTACTTACTGCTCAGACAAACTGTTTTCACTTTTATTCTCCATTTCAATAAAATTCCTTCTTCTTTACTTTAAAACTACACGAAATTTTAAAATCCACGTGAAGAACCTAACTCTATGCCGGTCAGTTCGAATTTGGCGAAAATATCTAAGCTTAGAACATATACTACTGGAAGGAGCATAGGCCTATAATCCCTGTACATTAGTGCTGGCCGGGTTGCCCCTCCAACGGCTAGGCCGCGCGCGCGGTAACCATGGTAATCACAGTAACGTGTTGTGGGTGCAGTTTTGGCGCAATCCCAGTGAACAGGCAGATACTGGTAAGGTTTTTGGCAGTTTTCCTTACCCTTGCAACAAATGTTGGTATTCTTAATAATTTCTGCCAAATAAAGTATTTCTTTATAATTATACAAGAATGTTTTTTTACAATTATTCTCATCCTATTCCTTTTTTTAAATAATTATTTTTATCCTATCTTATTCTTCATAAATTTAGTCTTCAATCTGTGTTATCGAAAAAATAAAAATTTAGATTTATATTTACTGGGATCCGCACGCTTACAACACGTTACTGGGCACGGCCTGGTTTGTGGAAGGGACTGGAGGGGCAACCCCAAGATCTATAGAGAGAAGGTTACCTCATGCGCAAAGAGGGACGAACGGCAAGAGGGGAAAATGCAAAGAGGGGCGAGCGACAAGAGGGGCAAATGCAGAGAGGGGCGAGCGGCAAGAAGGGCAATGATGATCTCAGACAGCTACTGTTTGTCGATGAGATCATCATGCTCTCCCCTTCCTTCATCGCCCCTCGCCATCAAGCTGTTTCTAGCTTCTCCCTTCCTTTATCGCCCCTCGCCATCAAGCTGTTTCTAGCTCCCCCCTACTTCATCGTCCCTCGCCCTCAACCGGTTTTACTGAGGTAACCTTCTCTCTATAGATCTTGGAAATGGGTGACGTCTGCACACAACCAATATCATGGCGGGTATCGCCTATTTTGCTATCGCCTAGACCTCTAAAAGATATTGTGGGCAGTACCTACTGCCCACAATATCTTTTTCCCTCCACGTTGGAAGGAGGAAGATAAATTCTGAACTAGTGCAGCCAGTTTAGGTAAAAAGAACAGGGCTTGTAATACTAGAGCGCTAAAGATACAGGTATTTTCGTCTGCGCCATTTTTCTTCCATTCCCCCACTCCTTGCCCTCTTGGTCCCTACAAAGTTCGAGCAGCTTAGAAGACATACCAGGTGTATGCATAAGTTTTTTCCGGTTTTTTGGTAAAAAAAAACACGTAATTTTCAAATTAATTTTTTTTATTCAAAATATTGGCCATCGGCTTCTATACATTTCGCCCATCTTTCAGGTAATTTATGAATACCATGCCAGAAAAACTGCTTGTCTTTTGCGGCAAACCATTCGTCGAGCCATTTTCCAACTTCCTCGAAATTGCTGAAGTGCTGCTCTGCGAGCGCGTGCCCCATTGATGCGAAGAGGTGATAGTCAGATGGCGTCAGGTCTGGGGAGTACGGCGGGTGCGGAAGGATGTCCCATCCAAGCGATTTCAAGGTGTCTTTCACTGGTTTTGCTGTGTGAGACGGCGCATTGTGTAACAAAATCACTTTGCCATGTCTTTTGGCCCATTCCGGTCGTCTTTCGATTAATGCGTGGTTTAAATTAATCATTTGTTGGCGATAGCGTTGTGTATTAACTGTTTTCGCCGGGCTTCAAGAGTTCATAATACACAATACCGCTCTGGTCCCACCAGACACAGAGCATGGTCTTCTTGCCGAAGCAATTTGGCCTTGGTGTTGATGGACCGGCTTCGCCAAGTGAAAGCCACGATTTTTTCCGCTTCGAGTTTTTAAAATAAATCCATTTTTCGTCATCCGTCACAATTCGATACAAAAATGATTTCCTTTCGTGGCGTTGAAGCAGCATTTTACAAGTGACTTTGCGATTTTCCATTTGACGTTCATTCAAATTGTGTAGGACCCATTTACCGAGTTTATTGATCTTTCCCATTGCTCGTAAACGTCTGCTGATTGTTTCTTGTGATACATGTAATGTTTCTGCTAATTGCCGTTGAGTTTGAGTTGGGTCATCATCCAATAACTCCTGCAATTGCTCGTCTTCGCATTTTTGTGGTCTACCAGAGCGCTCACTGTCTTTCACATTGAAATCACCACTTTTAAATAGTCGAAACCATGTCTCGCATGTTCTAATCGATGGAGCGTGTTCACCATATGTTTCTACCAGCAAACGATGACTTTCAACAGCCTTTTTCTTTTGATTAAATAAGAAAAGCAATGCGTGCCGCAAATGTTCTTTTTCAGGCACAAAACTCGACATGATCACTGAACGATAAAACAAAGACGCTAGTTTTTGGCGGACTCAACTTGTGTGTGTTTGTAGTTTTAAATGTCAGACGAACAAAATGACGTATGTTCAAATTAATATGCTGCGTACTTTTCGCTGGCGCTATCTCTTAGTTAAACCGGAAAAAACTTATGCATACACCTGGTAACCTAATCATCATAAACTTCTCAGCTCAGCGACAAAGGGGCGAGAGGGCAAGGAGTGGGAGAATGGGAGAAAAATAGACGAGAATACTCACGTTTATAGTGCCTTAGTAATACAAGAGGTTAGGTTAGGTTCTTTATAGCTGTACTGGCTGCACTAGTTCAGAGTTTATCTTTCTCCTTCCAATGTGGAGTATAAAGAACAGACCTACAATTCGAATGTGGGCAACCTACCTAAGCCGAGAGAGAGAGAGAGAGAGAGAGAGAGCGAGAGAGAGAGAGAGAGAGAGAGAGAGAGAGAGAGAGAGAGAGAGAGAGAGAGAGAGAGAGAGAGAGAGAATATGTCTTTTTCAGTGGTGAAAGTCTTTATCTATTGTCTATAGTACACATAACATATACTATAGATAACAATGTGGTTTCCGACGCAGATAGTTACTAACTCCATGAAACGCGATAATTACTTTTGAATAATCAAAACTGTAATCTACTGTAATCTACTAGATTACGGCTGTGTTCCGAAATTCACTGCCAGTACTGAAAATCTACAGTTTACGTTACGTATATTGTAAAATAAAAATGAAAGCTAGATATTAATTAGTCACTCGCCATTAAAGATAACAAGTTTCTATACATTAAAAATTTCTGCATTTTTATAGAAATTCTAAATAAAAAAGAACACTCTTCAAAAGTTTAATATATTATTTATAATACTTAAGACGATAAATGATAAAATGATAAACGATAAAACAGAAATGATAGAAGTCCTATGATTTTTGAATAGCAACAACGGCAACTGATGGCGATAACGGTATTAAGAATAATCGTTTGAACTCTGTCTGTATACTTGTTTGTTCTTAGAAAATTTTCCTTACGGCTATAATAAACGCGCCTCTCCTTCTCTCGCTTTTTCCTTTTTTCTCTATCTTTGCATCCCCCTTACTGTGTGTGGACGTTCAAATAACATTCTCCCCGCAGCTTACTACTGCAGAGTACGACGAACGAAATTGAGATTCGCACGCGCGGTAATTTATGAGTAATGATAATAACCTCTCACGGACCTCTCAACGATCTTGGCAATAGCGATGGAGTGTGTTAACGAGCGCGGAGACCGGGGGAGAGACCTCCCGGTATAATCAGGAGCGATGATGCCGCAACCGGACGGACTGAATCTCTCCCCGCACCGCGACGACGATGGTGCGGGGACGCAAAAAGCGCAGGAGGCACGGAGGATGAATAGCTCTCCTCTTTTTTTGCCCTCTTTCTCTCGGCCTCCCTGCATTCCAAACACTGCAAGTACCTGGGGGTCGCGGAAGGTGCTATCGGACAAGCAAAATTCGCAACGCGTGAAAACGCGCTGCACATTTAACGGATAATCCTGCGTATTTATAATTTCTCAATAAATATCGATAAGTTTTTAACGGGAATATATCGTTAAATGAATCCACAAGCGATTGGTCATTTTCTCTTTCAAGTTTTATCTCTCATATTCATTAAAAATAAAAATAGATTTAGGAGTTCTTTAAAAACATAAAAAATTGATAGAGCAATATCAGGTAACGTCGACAAGTTGAACGAAGGTTTCGAGAGTGTTCGAACGCGAAATCGGCCTCCGCATAATGCGGCCTGATAGATATACGCTTCTTCGGGGCAAAAAGAGACGCGCTTCCGCGCAACTGACTACTAAATATAGCGCGCGAGGGGAAAAAACGGAAGTTCCTAGTGATACAAATATTGACAACGGAGGCTTCACCGATTCGATCGTTCTTAGCCTCTCACCGTTCGTTAACAGGGTGGAAAGTAAAAAGTTCCCCGGGAGACGGCGAATTGGAACGGGTCCGCGGCTCGGGAACGTGAAATCGAGCAACCGCCGGTCGGTGATGACCGGTGAGGCGCGGCCGGCGAGGGTGATGGACGGCCCGTCCGTCACGAGGCGGACCCCGTCCACCAAACGAGATTAATAGAGATCCGCCGCTGTCAGCCCGGACGTCTCTCCGAGCGGCTACGGCAGACAGCCAGTCTTCTCGCAGATCGCAAGCCGCGTGGGCAGCACAACCCGATCACGATCGCGATCGATCTTCCTCGATCTCGCACGTGTAACAGCCGGAGAAAGTATCGCGCGGATCTCCTAATCTCCTCTTCTAGTCATCCGGAACTCGCGCGGACTCCCGCGATGAGATCGTGAGAGATCGGTAGCGTGCGATCGTCCTGTCACCGGTATAACCGTATGTCATCCGCGCTGTAAAGATAGTACGTAGCGAGACGCAATCTTCCGTTTATTCGTTTACCACCCGCTCAATATCGATGCGCATACAAAACACGAGGGGATGGTGGGCCGTCCTCGCCGGCTTCGCCGTAGTTTGCGTGGCTAATTTGCGATTAGGTAACGTCGCTGCGCCTCCCTTTTTTTCACGCTCCACTTTTCTCTCTTACGCACTTTTCCATTTAGCACTTTTCAGATTTGATTTTAAGATAATTTGATGAAACATATAATACAAAATATACGCGTTTACTTCTATTCAAAATCGTTTCCATATGTATAAAGTATAACATTTAATAAGAAGCGGCATCATTAAATTCATTTCAAATAATTATCGATACCAATTGATTTGATTTGAGTTCGATGTCACGCGTGAAAAGAATCTTGTCCTTTTGTAATAAAAATTAGTGAAATAATGTTTCTTTTTCAAGCTCAGAATAAGAAACCAAATTTATTGAAATTACGTCTGCTTCGAAAGGCGCGGTTTAATTTCAATTATTTATTAAAATTTTAATCTAAATTAAATGCTACATAAAATTTGAAACTGTAACTTTTATTTTTATTTAAAATTGGTGTAATTTCGATTTTTATTTCATCCAATTTTGCATTGTTTCAAAAATGCACTAATGGTAAGGAATTGAGTTTCTTGATAAACTTTATCCATGCTCATTTCGCGATTTTTGTTGCTCAGCTTTTTGCGAGAAGGAATCGAGTAACGAGGAAAAGATGCACTCGGGGGAACAACGACAACACACGTGTTGCGCCCGGCACGAAAAAATGATCGACGTCGGATACGGTGAGTGTGTGAAACATCAATTATTCTTTTGATATTTTTAATCCCAATATTAATCCAGCATTTATAAAAAAAAGAAGAAAAAAATGTGACATTTGTGGAGACAATTTAAGAAAATATCAATGTGTTCGAAAAAACATTTTTTCTCGCGCGTATGGTATCGCAAATTGATACCTCTTAATCAATGGATGTTCTAATAAAGGAGAAGGGGACGAAACATCCGGTTACGACGTGCTTGCGTGTCGGACAGGTTCGTCGGATTTGCGATACCGATTAACAAGGCGGTAACGTCATGTATGCGCACGACGTCACATAAAAAAAATCCTGTTACAATATGTGTTCCTCAATGTAAAAAATTTCCCCAAAAGGGAAGATAATGATAAAAATCTACAGAAAGATTATTATATTTGAATGAAAATCTTCTATTCCATATTTTTTTGCTCCAAGATAATTTTGTTCAAACGTCTATCTATTATTCAACTAAATAATCTAAATATTAGATTCGTTGAATTTTGAAAATGGTGTTTTCTAAATTTAAAAAATATATTGCAGCCTAATAATTCTAAATTAACAGTTAAATGTCATCTTTTGGCATAATCAGTAATAACATAATTTTTTTAATAAGAGGGAAAATTATAAAGTTGATGTATGAAATAAAACATCATATGTACGCTCGCATGTAACTAGATAAAATATTTTTCGCCCTCTAGATTGAGCGAATTTCATTGCGCGTCGCCCGTCTTAAATTCTCTCATCGATTCATTAACTTCAATTGAAGTGTGACCTTTGACTGCTTACGAAGAAGGAGACCGTCCGAATGCTTTGATGAAAATTAATATTTCGATTAAAACACCGTTCGGCTCTCGCCGTGCGATCGAACCGCCCAGTCGGATCCCGAAGTCGTTTGCTTTAAATAATAACCGACGTATTTTTGCGTAAGCTTTGATTTACATATTTGTAATATTATGAATGTGTAATAATTTACAGATATTACAACGCAGTGCGGTAAATCGCGTAAAAACTCGCGTGACCCGGTAACAGAGCGCTCCCACCTTTCGCCGAATTGCGATTTACAGATTATGACACACGATTCGGGGCGCGTTGCGCGCGAAAATATTTGCGAGGCAAATTAACGGGAAGGGGGGAAAAAAAAGGAAAAGCGGCGCGGGTATACGAAGATGCGAGGAACCGTGAATCACACTACGACAGCGTACTCCCGCATTCCGAGTCCCACGCGTTCGCGCCAAAAATAGCAGGAGTTGTATTATACATTCGTGATTCGCACACCCTCGTTCAAGCGCCACCCCTTCTTAGGACGTCGCTGCCGCGCCTCTCTTTTCTAATTTTTCACACCGAGTATATCCACACCCGCGCTACTTCGCGAAAATATTATTCGCTCGGCGCCGTACACGTAGGATGTTTACAATATCTACGTCAAATCTATGCTCGGAATATTCAATTTTGTGTATCTGCCTGGATTTTGTGTCTGTTATAACGCAAGCGTGTAATGTGAATAATTTTATAAAAAAACCAACAAAGAAGAGAACCAAGAAAAAGCTATAACATTTTGTATTAATCTCTGCCATCTCTTGCATTCTGACACCCACGCTTCGTTCTTACAGCCTGGTTTCTAATTTTTTAAATACTTTTGTTTAGGAATATCCGGCGAAGTTATCCAGATCGATGCTGGCCACTGCCGAAAATTATGCCCGCGACACGTGTCCGATGATCCTGGAGATGCGAGCCGACCAGCAGTTCAGGTAGGTTTTTGTTCTTTTCTCTTTCGAAAATTTGCAGTAAAATATTACCGACTTATTCATAAATATATTTAAACCGTTAATTAAGAGAATATATTTTACAAATTAATGTAATTTTATACAAGCAATTGTTACTGGCGGCTATTTTGCGGACAACACGTGACTCGCGAATTCCGAATTTAGTTTGGCAAAGCTTTTGGCGGCAACAGCGATGCGCTATCATCGCACGAGGGCGAGGATTGGCCCCTACGTTGTTTTTGTACCTTCAGGTGCATCCTGCGAGCATGAGTCACGAATTTCGGTGCTGCATTCTTGCCAAACTATCCGGAGAATATTTGCAGGATTCAACGCGTGATCGCTGCTCACTCGTGTTAGGAGTCATCGAATTATGAATATTTTAAACTTTGAATATATTTACTGAGTTACAAGATAATATTATTACAGATTATCTGTAAACACATCGACAATTGTGTGTATAGCAAACATTTTTTTTTATCTATATTTAATTAAAATATTTTCTTTTCATATTAATGTTATCAACGTTGCCTAACGCAATAAATTAATTCTTTTTATTAAACATAAAATATTCAGCTAAATAAAACTACAAGCAGATCACTTAGAAGAAAAGACTGTCGTCGAAATTATTTTTTTTACGATCCTATTGCTCGTTAAAATATTTTCGACGAGAATTAGTATCATTTCGTCTTCGTTAGACTCATCAAGCCTTCTCCTCGTACAACCGAGGGCTATGCGAAGGATAAAAAAGGTTTAAAACAACGTTCGTGTACAGATTTATGAGGCTCAGGACCAATCGTGGGTTGGAATGCGGCCACGCCAGCCATCGCGCGATCTTTTCGACTTTTACGACGAATAACACCCGGCCACTTTCTTCCCGTATTTTTATGCCGACAATTTGCAGCATGTTGTACACGTAGAGCTTTCGTTAAATGCCGAATTAAGATTTTTAATATTTTTACATAATCAATATTAATAATCAGATTCTTTTATTTAAAAAAAAGTATTACGATTATTACACGTAAAAGATATTTTTCAAATTGACATGAAAAATTGAGATAAGGCGATCAGAACAACAGTAGAAACAAAATAAACGCAAGAAAGTACAATTCTCCACAAATCTGTTATACAAATGTCATTCAACAAAATTATCTTTGTCGAAAATATTCAAGCATCACGGGCCATGTGTCAGCCACAAATAATCCAATAACCGCAATCGACTTGTCGTCGAACTTTATTTTAACAAAAAAAAAAGAAAAAACATTCTCGGGCGCTCAGGATGGAAAGGTCCCACCTCGTGGCGCGGATTCTTCGCGCGAAGACGAACGCTCGTCCTTCCCGTATATCTTCCCGGATCTTTGGCCGGTCAGGGTTATTTTCGTTACGTGACGCAATCCGCGAGATCGGTGGATACGGATGCGGATTTTACAGCAGCCACGCTACAATGGCGCGACGGCGATGGCGCGACACGACGGCGCGAAGCCGGACGAGAGAGGAAGGCGTTGCACGCAAAATACGTGGCGACGGGTACAATACGTCCTTCGAAGGTCGAATCGCCGCGGTCACTGTCCTCGGCCGGCGCCGGAGTGTCCAGCCACTAAATCCCGGAATTATGCGCCCGGGGGATCTCGCGGATGGATGATGGCGATCGCGGGGGAGGAGGTTGGGGGGGGGGGGGAGGAAATTTATGAAAACAACCGGCGCTATTCGCGATAACAATGTAAGCGTATTTTTAGCGCCATTATAAAGCGACCGAGAGTCGCATAAGTCAAAATTTTACAAGCGCGCGCGAGGACGCACGTTTGAATCGCCGGTTTTCGCGACGCGGACCATTAGCGCGACACATTGGGGATACGCTGAAGTATTGGCGAACGGAAGATATATCTTTTTGCTAGCAAAAATTACTCACCGACTTTCGTCTGCTTTTAGAAGTGCTCGTCGGACTTCCATTGTCGAGCGAGAGCCGCCAAGCTGGAGAGAGTGTCGACGTTGCAGGGTGTTCGCATAATCGAAGTTATAGATGCCTGCGAGTGCTCGCCGGAAACGTCCTGCAAACGGGAATCCTACATCCACCTCGTGCATTCCGGCACGCCGCATCAGGCCATCGTGGATGTTGGGGTTTGCATCGGCCATTGCGCCAAAGGTAGCTTCGTGAAACCTATAACAAATATTTAATAATTCTAGAAGCGAACCCTGTTGATTCCTCCCGTGCTTTAAGCCTCGGCAGGCACCGCAATTAATTTTGCACATGTTTTCTCTAAACTAGCAACAGTTTAAACTTCCAACAAAGCGTAATTAAATATGTGTGTGAAAATAATTTGAAACAATTACTAATTTTATTTTAAATTAATTTCTTTTTCAGTTTGTAAGAACTGATGAAATTAATATTCAGTTGTATTTTTTAAGATCTGGGCTGCAAGCCGGTTCGGAATAACACAATTAGCATCAAAGGGCCAAACGGTAAGCGAACATCATCGGTCAATATAAAACTAAAACTCGGACACTGAAATGTAATTGAAAAGTTGTTTGTAAGTATTTCAAATTGAGATTCACGCCGTTTTCAAGGTGATGAAGTCTATCAAGTAGTCGAGAAATGCGGCTGCGCCGGTCATTGTCATCGGATGGACCACATGGAAACTGTGCTGGATTATAGCGAGGTAGCGATCAAAGAGGGCACAAACACGACTGACGTGAGGCCCGTTGTTCGAGTAAGAAATTTAAAAGATATAATTTAATAAATATAAAAGAAAAAAATAAAGTTGCTATATGTATTATAAAAATTTCATTTAAAAAAATTTTTATTTTGTGTAATATTTGTCTAAAAGATAAACTTTTGTTTCATATAAAATACTGGGACACTCTGTATATAGTCAAGTTAATCAAGCAAATAAAATAAAAGTAAAAAGTGAACATTAAATACTTTTTTCTTTATTATTGCGTCAATATTGCATTAACATTTCAAGTTTCTCTGCTTACTTCCATCAACTCGATTTTCTTTTTCAATAGCCAATTAACGTCGGACAATGCGTCGGAACGTGTCCGGGAAATGAGACGGAAACGTGCCTTCTGCGTGACAAAAAGGAGCCATCTAGATGTTTAGCCGGTTTATATTCGAAGCAGTACACTTGCACACCGGCAAGATTTAAAGTGCACGAATACAGGTAGAGTCCATTATATTGATTTGTGAAAATTTTGCCTCTGCACGTATTCGCAACACGTTGACTTGGGAAATAATATCAGTATATAAGACTGAAACGACAATATACGGTTCGTCCAATGCGTTATAAAATTCGAAAAAATTCTTGTGAAATTTTACGAAGTAACTCGGATCTTTTACGGGTCTTCAATACATATAAGCTTAAATTTACAGACAAGGCACTCCTTAGTTAGCCAGATTGTAATACGTCATCTGCCTTCGTGCATATCTTACAATCTTGTCATATAATAAAGGAGCGCTTATTGTTTTAATAATTTTGAAATTATATGTGCACAAATATATTAAAGGAATCCGTAGTTTATTTTGTAATTTTTTAAAATTCTACGAATAATTGTGTTTTGTGGTATTTAATAAAGTCGTATATGCTGATATTTTCTATGCCTATTCGGCTCGTATTACTGCAATACATTTCGAAAAGCTATATATATTTTCGAACGCTTTATCGATGTTTAATATGTCACATTTAAAACTTGTAGAACTCGACGAGGTGCGAAGAGAGAAATAATTCAGATCACTCAGTGTGCCTGCGTCTAGACTGAAACTGTGCATCACTTCGCCGTATTGAGTCAAAGGCGGAAGAGAAATATGACATATGAGAGATACGTGTGTTTAGATTGTATTTCATGCGCACACTCATGTTCCTAGGTACGTCATGTACTAATTCATGCAGGCTAAATAAATCAATGTTTTCTTCAAAGAGCTAGATTGAAGCTTCCTCCCGCACTTCATCCTACTTGCGTATTCCTGATTCGAGATGTGTATCGGTATAATGGGGCTGCCTTATGGGGAGACACGAGTGGCATTTTGCAATTTGTCGTCTACTTTCTCGCATTATACCTGTATTAGCGTGGGAAGTCGAGCTCCCTTGCGGCGCTTGATTGCCGCAATTTACCGCGGGACGCGTCAGCGAGAACCTGTTGACGTTCCACAATGGAGTCAATCGCACGCGGTTAAAATTACGCGGTAAAAGTTCGAGCGGTGTTTTCGACCGAACGGATTTGGCAACGACGTCACTGAATCGTCTCCAACGATAAAAGACTCGAATTTATATTAAAATGACGATTAATGACGCTCTCGTATCGATCCGCTCGAACGCTATAAGTACATCACCGCGCGCTTAACGACCGTTGACAAATCCCTCGCGATTCGTCTTTTGCAGCTTCAGCACGCGACGACAGTCCTATGTAGGTGGATATTGATAAGCGAGCGCGATCTCTGCACAACACCAATGTTTATCGATAATGCAACGATCGGTGGGCGGGGCTGAAATTAGAACCGCGAAACAAAACTGTGCGAAAACTGTGCCGATACAAATCGGCGACAAGACGTTTCGCGCGGATAAATAATAGCTCCCGCGGGTTTCTCGTTGGAGTGTAATAAATATCGTCGGACGTCAAATCCGCCTAAATATCGCCGCGTGACGAATGCGACACATAACTCGGCACTTACGAATCCGCGGAATTTAGGAAGCTGTTTTTTTAATAGCCGCGTTGTCATCGGCGGAGCGCGACCTCGTATCTTTTCTCGGTCGCTTCGGAATCTCGCTTCTTTCATCGATCTCGAGCGATGGAATTCGTCATCGCCGAAAACGCTCGTAAATCGCCTCTCTTACGGATCAACTGGAGAAATTAACTGTTCTTTCTCAAAAAAAAAGTATTAAATATCAAGAGAACGTAAATATCAACATCAAAATACTTGGAAGCAAAAATAAATGTTGTTAATAAATTACAAGTCTCTCATTGCTTTTTAGTGAAACATCTTCCGACGTTTACAAGAGCTTTCCGTTCGATGTTTCTCGTGGAAATTTTATACTGCGCATTTTCCCGAATATCTCGATTATTCATAACTTACGCGCAAAGAAACAAATGCGCGCGCGATGCGTACGAGCGGTTTTGTTAGTGGGCCAAGGAATGTTGACGAAAGTGAATGCTGCTAAAGATCCGCGGAGTCGGATCCGCGTCCAGCGGCAGCCGCGGCGAGAGAGAAGTGAGAAGAGCCAATGCTGCGGGGAGCGAACGGTTGCGGGGGAGGCAACTCCCGGCGTAGCATAAAGGTGACTCCTCGCGGCCAAGACCTCCCATATGCCACTTAGCATCCCGTTCGGTTCGGCAAAGCCTTCTCCGTGCGAGGCTCGTCTCTCTCTTTCTCTCCCGCGCTGATAAGGTGCCGATAAGGACGATCGAAAAGAAGTCCGTCGCTGTCCCTTTCAGTCGTGATGAAGGCGTGAGTCGATGCGGCAACGATCGATTTTTCGCGCGCGACACCGCAAAATTGTGAATTGATACGCGATCGAGTGAACGAAGTCAGTTCGGCCGCCCTTTTCTCGCACGCGTGGATCTTCGCTCTGATGACGGTGATGACGAAAAGCGTCCCGTCCTACTCGCTAGTGCTGCTGTTCTTATTGACGTCTCTGAATGACGTTGACGCGTACCCGAGATCGGATCCGGCCGGGGACCGAGACGGACTCGGATTTGCGGACTTGTGGCCCTTCGCTCAGCTGGCGGAGGGAAACGACCTTGCACCCCGGCGTGAGGAGGTTCTGCAGAAGATGCAAGAGGTCTGTGATAAACGACGATAATCCGGACTCAAAGTGACGCGATTGGCCGCGCCGATTCGCGAAAAACAGTGGGATTCTTTGCGTTCATTGTGTCCGGAGAGATTTTCTTGTAGCTGCAATTTTTTCCCCCAAAATTCCACGCTATTCGCAACGGCGCGCGCGCGCGCGAAAGTTTCTGTGTGAAAAGAGTAATACTAACGGAAATAATGACGGTTGCAGATCCTCGGTATCCGGAGTCAGAGCGAAAATCTGGCGCATCGCAAGGTACCGCCGCAATTTATGATGGAGCTCTACAACACGATCGCCGATCCCAGCGGTGTCACGCGAGGCCGGAATCCCTACAACGCCAGGGTCGTGCGCAGTTTCGTCGAGCGGGGTAATACTTTCAATATTCGAAAAAAAAACAAAACGGGGAAAATCGGTTTTGCGAATCCCCCGGCGATGAAAGATCGATTGTCACGATCTAACGATATTTTTTCACGTCGCGTGCAGACACCTCCCTGTCGCAATTCTACTTCTTCAACATCTCGGGTCTGGAGATAAACGAATCGGTGCTGGAGGCCGAGCTGCATCTCTACCGGAAGAAAACGCCTTCGCGAAACGGGCGTCCATTGACGATCACTTCACCTTATTATCTGGTAAGTGCCCGGCACTGTCAATGCCGTCACGGTTCGCCTCCTTAATGACGATAATGGCGAAACACGAGGCGGAGAGGTGACGCCTCGTCAAAACATCTTTATATCTCGATTCCGATTTAGATAAGAGTGTACCAAGTCCTGGACGATCGCAGCCTCGACGCGCCGGATCTTCACAGATTGCTGAACGTTCGTTACGTCGGCGCGCACGCTTCCGGCTGGCAGGTGAGCGGAATTCAACATTAATTATTATTTCTGCCATTAATTTCCTCTTTCGTTTGATTAACGCTCGCTAATGTCAGGAATTGATTGAATTCTTTGTTTCGATCAATTGTAAATCCGAGAATCATTAAATCGGCATTCTCGGAAGAACGAACATCGCTGTCGAATGCTTAAACGGGAAAAATGTCCACAGGTGTTCAACGTGAAAGAAGCAGTTCTCGGATGGGTGAGCGGCGAGCCGAATTTAGGCCTCCTGGTGACAGCCTCGAATCTGTTCGAGGACGAAGCGTCGGTGGAATTTTCGCGCCGGAACGATTATCATCACAGCAAGCAGCCGATATTGGTGCTCTTCGACGACGACAGTAGCGATCGTAGCCCCGCCGCGGATGTCGCGCCCCGGTATTACGCTTACGAGAAGCAGGACGACGAGGAGAATCCAAAGGACGAGCTCGCGTACGAGAAGAGCGCGAAGAGCGAGAAGATCGATCTGGAGAACGACTACGGGCGCGCGGAGCATTACAGAAGACACAAGAGGCAGCGGGACGGCGGTCAGTCCGAGGAGGTCCTGCTGACAGACAGACGCGAGTCGGAGTTCTTCCAACGGCAGAAGAGAAGGCGCGAGGGGGACGGGGAGGCCGCGCGTCACGACGATTCGCAGGGGCAGCGACGTCGTCGCGACGCCGCGTCGTCGCGGAAGCGCGCCGGCCGGATCGTGTCGGAGGATCGCACGAGATTCCCGCGGGTGCTCACGTCGATGGACGTCTACGAGAGGGCGATGCTGCGCGAAAAATTGGGCCAGACGGCGCGCGATCGATCGGGACGGCCGAGCGGCGCGCGGCAGCGTGATCGACTCGCGCGATCGGTGAGCAACGAAAACGCGACGGAGCAGAAGAACGCGACGCAGGAGTGCACGAGACACGAGCTCTACGTGGACTTCCGCGACATCGGGCTGTCGTCCTCCATAATCGCGCCGGCCGGCTACTCCGCTTATCAGTGCAAGGGCGTGTGCGAGCCGCCGCTCAGCCAGGATCAACGGCCGACGAATCACGCGACGATACAGGCGACCGTGCACAAGATGGGTCTGGTGAAGGGCGTCGGGAGACCGTGCTGCGTGCCGACCAAGCTGCTCAGCACCAGCATCCTGTTCTACGACGACAACGAGAACGTCGTGCTCAAGATGTACGAGGACATGATCGCGGACCGTTGCGGATGTCGTTAAGCAGGGTCGCGCCGACGCGTCTCGCGAATTTTGAACCTGATCGCGACACGATTACGAAAGTCGTGTCAGCCGTGATTAAAAATGCTGCGGGAGGGAACGGTGATATTCGAAGAATAAGGGGGGGGGAGTCGTAGTAAATAGAGAGATTACACTTGTAAACGTATGTCTGATTCTTAATCATTAACCTTTTAACCGCGGCATGCAGACTTTCTCTATGCAATCTCAACTTTCTCTGAGCAATTAAAAATAGAAATAGAAAAACAATTCATCAAAAAACTAAACATATATAAATTAATGTTTATACATTAATATAATTTATAAATTTGTATAAATGTATACTGGAATGTACGGCATGAAATATTGATGTCGAATGATTGACAGCGAAAAGCGGTTAATCATTCATCCGTTTTCACCGCAAATATCTATAAAATATTCGCGGCTGAAGGGTTAAGAGATTTGCTTCATTTTGATTGTAAATAGTCATGCTATTGACTGATTGCGTTTTCCTTTAATTAATTCTCCGACGAAAAATTCAGTACAACAGCGGTCTAATTCATATTTTTCGCGAATGAAAATTCTTTGCGTAAAAAACACGGCTTCGAATGGATCGACGATGAACTCTCTTAGCGACATTCTCCCGGAGATTTGCCCGACGATCCTGTAACCGGCATGCCACGCAGCTACTTTGTACATAAGAACATTCCCAAGTGCGCGTAGTATCACACGTATAAACTAGTATGTGTATCTATATTAGTACTGTTAAGTCGTAGCGCCGTTAAATTATTGCTATAATCGTAAAACGGAGGATTAGACGAATGTCCAACTGTGTATATATATTTATAGCCAAGCAAAAGAGCAAACGAGAAATAAATGACATTTGAGCGATAACCGCGCCATGATTGTGCGATTTGATTTATCGGCAAACAACTTTTCCCCCCCGTCGCAATGCGACGTGCAAGAAAAATCTCTCAAAAGGAGAAGCGCGACGTGTTTTCCAGCGATCCCGATTTAAATCCCGCCACGCAATGCATTATTGTCTTTATGTCGTTCCGCGTGATGTCTCGCGATGAGACGCAAATATTATTAGATGTTTCTCGGGCTTGTTTTCGTGTGAGAAACCAAGGTGAGAATTTACTGAAGCGGCAGGTTGACGGTAACAGCGCTCGGCGCCGCCCGGATTGCCGAAACGCAGTCGCGGAATGCACGAGCGGCTATCGGTCTTTCTTCTTCATCATTATGTTCGTATCATTATGTTCGTATCATTATGCGGTTAAAACTGGCTTCGCGATGCGGATGTCGTTTTGCCAAATATTCAAAAGAGACGGACAAGAAACGCCTCGTATTCCTGCAACGATAAATTGTGCAGGATTTTTATTAACGTCATGATCGGCCTTACGAGATTGAGTAAAATAATGCGGCGATTTTCATTGAATAACCGTTCCAGCGAAATCACGCACAATTCTCGCGCAGAATTGAACGAAATTGCAGACGATTATATGAATCCGTTCGATGCTTGTTTTTCCCTGCGTGACCTCCTTCGATTTTAGCACACGTGCCAGCATAACAGATCTCATTATTCAGTTCTCTAATTTTATATTCATCTACGCCCTCTCATTTCTTTTTCTAACGACGCGTGGGAGCGTCTTCGTTATACGATTCATTATATAATTCTCCTATAAATTATATTATTAAAAAAATCGACGTTGCACAGTTTCATCGTAATGTACTTTATCCATTAATAAAAAAATACTTATTTTTTTCGCAAAAATGTAATTATATATTTTTTCACATTTTTAAAATTATGTATGTATTTTTTTAAATGCGTATTTTATGTCGTGTTCAAATATGATCATTAAAAAAAACATTAAAAAAGTGACTTCTTATGATAAAATATCAATATTTTCATTTTTGATATTGAGATAAAATATTGTAGTATTTTTTAATCATTTTTTTCGCCTTATACCGATATCGATTTAAAGCGCCCATATTTCGTCTCGATATGGCGAGGCTGCACGCGACACCCGAGTTTGCATATCGTTCTGCGCGACACCCGAGAGATCATTCGCGTGCCGTGCCGTGTCGTCGTGTTGCATTCCGCGTACGGCGCATGCATCCCCCGCGGCTATATTTAATCCGCGATGGGTGTATTTTCGAATTCGCCCGACTAAAAATAGCCGGAACGCGTTCCTCTGCATTCCACCGTTGCATTTAGATCCTCGCGCGTCGTAATACGCGCACCCACACACGGACGCAAACATACGACGGATGTACACTGTTACGTGCCGCAACTTTCTTGTTCCTTAAATTACCTTCGAACCTTCAGACCATTTTTATCTTTATTTCTTCCGGATTCTAAACAAAGGACCCTTCGATAATTGTAAAAAACGTATTTTAGCCTAACCATTGTTCCTGTGCGTAACGTGCACTTTCTCTTCAATAAAAGCTTTTCCCTTCAATAAATCTTTTTCCTTTCAATAAAACTTTCCACTTCTACGAAATACCTAGAGCACTTGGAAGGTAGATCCATCTCATCAGCTCAGTTCTCGATCACAGCACGAAGCAGCAACACCTAATAAAGACTTTTCCATAAACGTATCCCGATTTATTTAAAATTAGCTATTACGTAGCTTCTCGCACGTAACAATTGCTGGCAGCGGTGGGATATTCTGTGTGAAAGTGCGAACAATTTTATTTGCTGTAATTGGGCTGATTGCTGCGAGTCAAAATCAAGTGAAAGGAAGTTGGGGACCCGGAATTTGAGAAAACTTTGTAGCCTAGCAAGGTTATCAAAGTAGAAGAACCGAGGTCAATCGTAATTTGGTGCTATCCCGACGAATTTAACGGGAACGCACTCCGATCAACCAGCTGAGATCCTGTCTGTCGGCCGATAAAACCACGACGTGGTCTAAAACCTACCCCGAGGAAAAAAGCACAAGGTCATCAGGACACTTCTGGACGAGCACAGTTAACGAAGGAAAAGGCAGCAGCAACAACGAGACTCCGTGGACAGCCAGCAGGAAAAAAGATCAATCCTCATCATCAGCCCATCTACGTCATCATCATCAACTCATCTACATCTATCAGTGGCGTGAAATCATTTCATCATAGATTTGCTGCGCATCGTACTTTTGTAAAAAGTCTATCAATTTTGTAAACTTTAGAGACACTAAAGCGCATTACGATACCGACTTGTTTGGAAAGTAGTTCGTTAATTAGTTATATTAGCGATATAAATTTTGAACTTAATCGCAGAATCTCTAATTTAGAAGCCGAAATAATCAAAATGAACGATCAAATAGAAACGATACAAGACGCATATCATTTTGGTATAAACCTAGACAGACAATGTTTAATGTTGAAAAAGAGTTATCTCGCCATCCGTAATGGCTTATTGCTGCTACCTGTTTTTAACGGCGAAAACATTCCAGTGAGGCAATTTACGGCTGTTTGTAAAAAAATAAATAGTTTAATCGAGCCAGATGATAGAGTATTCTTTTTTCACGAGATCTTACAAACAAAATTAATAGGAAATGCCACATTAATAAAATCAGTTTTTATTACAATAAAGAATCTCGACGATTTGTGTAAAACGTTAGAATTAGAATTCGGAAACTCTGAAAGCTTTAACCATTGGAAAGTAGAAGTTAACAAACTTCGGCAAAAAACAGACGAATCCTTCGAGAATTACGCTACTAGAGCCAGAAAATTAAACTCCGATATGATCATTGTAATTTCTAACTATCCTAATCCGACAGAAAGAATGATACAAAAAGATTTCGCAACAAATAAGTTAATTGATAGTTTCTTATGCGGATTGCACATTCCATTCAAACAAATTCTTATGGTACAAAAATATGACACATTAGAAGACGCAATCAAGAGCGCAACCAAGTTCATTGCAGCATTTCAGTGCTATTTGAGAACATGTGAATACAGGTAAGATAAAACACGACTCTTTGTATCTCTTAAAAATTAATATTGCGAATTAACGTCCTTAGTATAAGAATCTATATATGTGTATGTTAAAAGTATAAGACTACGTTATAGATATCTTTATTGTCAGCATATCATTTGGATATAAATTTTTTTGTTTATTGTAATCCTGAACTAACAATAAATTTTTCTGTTTATTGTAATCCTAGACTAACAATAAATTACCACATTAATTTAGAAATAAGACCTTAGATACGTACACCCATCCCGCCACGTGGATAGCGAATTTAACACAGTTGCGGTAAACTATTTTCGTGAGTTACTTATTTGCGAATAATTATAAGAACAATTGTAATATTCATAAGATCACGGAAATAATTAATGTCCTACGAGAATAAGCAACCGAAAAATATACTGGGGAATAAATTAAAACTTAAAAATGATTAAATTAAGACGAGCAATAAGAAACAAAATCAAAAAACGCAGGAAAAATTTAGAAATCATGTAAAAAATTGAAGCATTTTTATCAATCACTAAAATATAATAAAACTCTAATTAAACAAAGAATTGACTTTAAAACTAGTGCAGAAAAATAGAGAACCCGAGAAATCGAGGCAAAAATTTTGAAGTCCGCAATTAAATTCAAAAGAACTATAAAAGGAGACACGAGGGTTGGATATAAAGTAGTTGTGTGTGTGTGTGTGTTGTGACAACATATTTATATGTGACTAAACATATCTATATGCGACATTTATTCTAGAAACAGAATAAGTTTATATCCGTTCAATATAATCTCCTGTCAAATTAAAAATTTTCACATATTAGGCACTGTATATCGTTAGCAGAGCCTTCTATACGAGCTCTGTTGTTCGAAGGATTTCGTCTTTTGTTACTGCGTCATGCGGTTTCTCATTGTTAGGAGCACCAGACTTAACGCAGCGGGTTCCTAAATTTTTTGGAACATTATTTTTGTCGCTCTACGGAAAATGTGCCCTGCAAGCCAATTGCCGATATCACACTGCTGCAAATAACTCTGTTTATCTAGCGACTTTCAAATGTATGACAAAAGAATATAAATGGAAAATTATATTGAAGGGATGATACTTAAATTTATTGCGTTCCTAAAACCAACGGTTTGCCACATATATAAATATATTGTCACTAATTTATATCCTCTCGTACTTCGCATATCTTCTTCTAGAAAATGTTCTCTAGAAAATGCGAAAGAAAGTGACAGGTAGAAAAATGATGCGTCTTAAAAGAAGCAAAAAATTTACGAGCGAAAAAAGGAAAAGAAGTGATAAAACCTTTGTCTGGCAAGTTCAAAAAGAGAAATCGAAGAATTTTAAATCGATTACTGTACAGTCATTAATAACATTCGGCACTTAACGGTCACTTTCTAATTACATCAAATGCTCGCAAAAGAAAGAAAAAAAACCCCCGAATGATAAATGTATTGCGATGTAATGATTGATAAATGTAAATTATGAATTTTTTTTTTGTAAAACGGATCGCATACCAATAATGCATAAGGCTGTGTTATAGCGCAACCGGCGATGTTCTGTCATCCGAGGCGGCTACCTTTTTCTCTCTCTCTCTTTCCATTTGTCCACCGCTGGTTATTATAGTGGGACAGACTACACCGGTTTACAACTATGCACATAGTGCGGTAGGCCTTTGAACGGTGCGCGCCGCGTGCGCCTACCTTTCATCCTCACGATTCCCTCGCTCCTCGTTCTTTTGCTATCGTCCGTTTTACGTCACGCGTCATCACAGTGCTCGCTTTCCTACCGTACGGTAGGCTCTTGTATTCGGCGCTGGTAAACAAACGAAGTGGCCGTCAACTCTTATTTAGTTGTCAACAGTCGCATACCGGGGAGAGGGAAGAACGAATAAACAAGGATCTCTGATACAGGAGAAGAAGAATGTTTAAATGATTTAGTATCGATTACGGTATGGTAACACGAAGTGGCGCTTGGAACATTTCGTGAAGAAGGAGCATTGTTATCCTGAGATCAAAATCTGCTGAGCAGGATGACAACGTTGCGCATTATTTGTCTTGCCGCAACATTTTTCCCGGTTTTCGGAGTTTCGCACGGTTACAAATTTATGGTAGAGAATTTTCAAGTAAGTACAAAATGATCCATATGAGTAAACATAAACAAGCGTATCATAAAAACTACGTAGCGCGTCTCATATCTAAAAGATAATTGTAAGAAAAATACGATGCAAATTATTGGCGGAAAAAATACGTGTACTTTGTTTTCATCGGTGAGCTCTGTCTTGAAAATGAAGTGTGTATCGCACTTTCGTCAAAATTCACATCTGTACTCGAATCGTTTTATTTTTGTTTACGAAGGGCTAAATTTTTCACTGCCTTTTGTTTTAAGTTTTACTTGAAAATCTTTTTCGCTATTGACAAGCGGCTACGCCATTGATGGGAAACGATCTTGCGGCGCGTCGTTCTCAGAAGTAAACGTTCCCCGCTCGGAAATCGCCGTCCCTTTTCTTCGCCACCGCGTCTTATCCGACGCGGCCAAACGCCGGCGTCCTTTGATGTTGCGACCGTGTCAGCCTTTTACGTATCGCGCATACTCACGGCGGTCATCGGTCTCTCTTCGCCTTTGACAAATCGTCTTCTGATATATCGCGGGCAGCAAACGTGTTTCCGATTCGAATCATTCACGCCGCAAGAGAAAAACAGGGCTCGGTTTTTATTGCGTTGTCGATATTTAATTATTGAACTATCGAAGAATGTCGCTCGCGATAATTACACCGATAAGTTAATCGGATATAGAATCATAGATCTTAAAATCCTGATTTCACATAGCGTTCTCTATTTTCAAATTAAAATACAAATACATATAACAGCGTTTCAAAGGCATCGTGCTTTCGGAGTTCAAATTTGTCATCTCAGAAATGTAGTTGTTACTAAAATTTAATGCAGATAAATATTTCAATAATATACACAAGTGCCAAAAAAAATCGGAAAGAATAAAAATGTTCGTTTATTTTATTATTTTATTTAAATCGTAATATAAAAAAAGGTAAATTCTCACTTTATGCTGTAACTTTAGACTTATAAAATTTGTTTAGTTAGGACAATTTCTCAGGTAAAAAATGTCGAGCGTAAAGCATTTCAAGATATGTAGATAAAATCGTTACCCGTTTTACGATTCACCGATGACGACTGTCTTGCCTGAGATAAATGTCAGATTACATTTTTTTAGAAACTTACACTTTTTACAGACGGATTATATAAGCAATAGAAATTTTTTCTCAACGAAAAAGGACACGAACTTGGAAGAAAACTCGAGTTTGAAAAAAAACACTGACTCGGAAGAGAATGGAGAAGCTACATTTATTAGCTACTCTAACGGTTTCAAAGACGATTTCCTATTCAAAAACGATTTCAAGAATATACTTTCTCGAAATCGCATAAAGAGAAGCAATGACCAGTTTAATCAAAGTTTGGAATCTCTTTTGAAAACATTAGCCGAGTCATTGGCAAACAATTCCACAGTGGACAATATTGTCGTATTGAATGAGTCGAATTTTTTAAATATACATGATGATGAAGACCGTTGTCAAACGTGGCTAGACAAAAGGGAGAAAATAGAAGCTATTTTTCCAGGTAAGCTGCCTTTCACGCTGCATTTCATGTTAATCTTTTAAATAGCTTTATGCTGAGACCCAAATCGAAATCGGAACCGGAACCGGTGACCCTTCGTCTCCGTTCGACGAAACCAAAACTAACTGAAACTGAACTGAAATTTCTTAAAATTACATTGGAGAATTTATAACACCATAAACGGATTAAATTATTTTCAATTTACGGTTTTTTTCAGTTTTTTTTTTATTCTTACTCTATTTTATTATTTTATTCCTTTTTAAAGTAGTATAAAAGCATTTTCCAGAAATAATATACTTGTTATTTTATATATTCTCACTGGAATTCAAGGCATCTTTCCGAAATTTCTGACAGTTTTTTATCTTTTTACCTTTTTTACCTTTTTTACCTTTTGACCTGAGTCCAAACTGCATGCAGCTGTTAAGAATACATTTCATTTTCGACGCGTTTATGTCCTTGTTTGAACATATCTCACTACTTAAACACTTGAAATTATTTGTAAATTATTTTGTTAAGTCTTTTATAAATTTTAGTTGATTTTGTATTTGAACCTCATCGTCCGCGTGCAAAATTAGATACGTACTCAACCAAAACCTTTTTTTCGAAAAGAGTATAAAGAAATTTTCAAAAATATTTCAAATTTAAGAGGAAAATATATAAAATAATAGGTATATTATATGTTATTTCTGAATAAATGCTTTTTATACTACTTTAAAAAAATCAGTCATTAATATTTGAACAATCTATTTGTACTAATTTTCTCTAATTGCAATGTCGATTTTATAAATCTGTTATTTAGCGCATTTATAAATTGCATACAATTTTGTCGCGTATGTCGTGCGGATCCCTGATTTCGAGAATATATTTTATAATCCGTACTATTAAAAAATTACTAACTATTATATTCTATTAGCGTTTTCGGCTGAACGGATTCGAATCGATCCGAGAGCGATTAATCGTCAATTTGAATACAAATTCAAGTCTTCTATTAGCAGAGACGATCCAATGACGTCATTAATCACTCTCGAATCGAATCAAATCCGTTCAGTTAAAAATGCTATATGTGTGCGCTATTTGTGTATTATTTTTTCAAATGGATATCTGCTCTGATTTGGAAGACATTAATTCTTCGGGATCGTTTAAATACTTCGTGGACATTATATGTGTACATTTTACAGGATCTATCAATGATTTGCCCTCGTGTCCCTGTCGATATCCCAACGACATCGTTTACGAGAACATGCTTTGGGACAAGAAGCGACGGATGAAATTTCGGTGGCGCGATGCGAGCAGTGACTTACAACGGCTCAAGGTTTACAAACCCGGAGCCGCTTATTGTCTGCGATCTTTTCCGAGTGCCTCAAATTCTGGGGCGCAACATTGCTGCTACGATCAGAATAGAAAACTGTTGACCCGCGGCTCCGGTGCGGGTACCCCATACGTCGTCAGTCCGGATGTATCGTATATATTGCACGATAAAATTGACTTAACACCTTGGCGACTCTGCAAGGGTGATTTTACTAGGTGCGTATTCGCGTAATGCACGCGGCATCTCCGCCAGATCTTATAAATTAAAATTCGATTAAAATATTATTAGGGACAAGTTTCCATCGTCTTAAAAGCAATTTTCTGTAATATCTTCATTTTTAGATCAAATATTTTCTACTATCTATCACTTATCTATTAGTTTTTATTGCCTTTCAAATAAAAGACGGATACCGTGATAAAAGAAATATCTATTTTTCGAGTTTTGTGTATCTCTAAGAAAAGCGAAATATTGACAATTACTATTGCATATTTTTATTGCAGATACAACAAAGCAAGAGTACCAAATAATGACAATAACTGCAAAATAAATCCAAAGGAGGAAGTGTATCAACTTCAAGTAGAGAAAGCGAAAGATTTTTAAAATATAGCAATTGCCGCAACTATACCAAAAAAAGCAATACTCGTGTTTACCGCCATTACCATTTTAATTGTTCCTTAAAGAGAAAGAAAGACACAGAGAAAGAATAATTTAATTAATTTAACAATTCATATGTAAAATAAAAATAAATTTTAAATTACAATTTTAAATTTGCTTTAATTATTTTCCTTCAACATAGTAATTTAGAAAACTCTCTCGCATTTTTAAAGCATATTGTATACATTGGCCAAAAATAAACAATTTTCTTCTCCAATCACTGTGGAGAATATAATCACGCGTTACATTGATATGGCATAGCACGTGTTTTAACGTATGATTTTTTTCGAGTTGCCTGATGGACAGCGCAAGCCATCTAGTGATTGCACTTGACATTAGATGGCCGAGACTCAGTGACGCTACCACTCGAGAACGCCTGCTGCTCGTCATGCACGTGTAGTGATAGTTTCCATGGTTACGGCTTGCAACAATAAGATGAAATAATTGTGTACTTGTCAAAGTGTGTCGCGAAGTCCCGTTACTTAATATACTGGTTTCTTAGCGGCGCACAGCTGAAGAGTCACGCGAATAAAATGGACTGGACTAACGATCTCGAAATCACTTCCAAAAAGGTGATTCTAGATGATTTCAATCAATCTACTCCTATTATCCATAAAAGAATTCATTATTTAAAAATTTGATAAATTGATAAACTAGAAGTATTGCAAGCATGGTCGCTCGAGTACGAAATATTAATCAATTTTCAGTTGATACCTCGCCTAGGCAGGCGCGCAGGTCAGAGCAACTTGCAAGAAGAGAACAGATCTGACGACGATCCTCTGGAGAGTCCAATTTCCTTATCATCTGGAAAGTCTATACCTGCACAAAGACCAGTAGCACCACCTCGTTTGAGGAAAACCGGCTGGGGCGATGAATTAAAAAGTGGCAAGTATGTAAATTTACATTATTTACAAGAGTGTAAAAAACACTAAAATTTAGTTATTAAATCAGTTCAGCAATTCTTTTTTTATTGCATAGATCAAGGATGACATCAAATATTATTGAACAGTGAGTATAATACATTAGATTAAAGAATCAGACATCGGTCACTGATAGACTGTCTCTTAGGGAACGTTTTCGAATAGCTGAAAAGGAGGAGCAAGAAGATGGTAAGCTAAGACTCTGTATATTTATGGCAATAATTCTATATCGACAAAGAAAAAATATGGAAAAATTTACACATTCTCTTCAGCATTATTAATCTTTATGTTTGTAGATATTCCTGTCATACCAGATTTAGATGAGATTCAGGAAGATTATATTTCATCTGAGATTGCAAGTGCTCCAACGTAAGTATTTATCATTATATTAAGTAATAAAAATTAATCCTCTCTATTGGGAATAATTATTTAAAAATTATAGATTACACTTTTATATCATATGTAACATATTATTCTTCAATAACTTATGACATCCTATGATTATTTGGAATAAATAGAATCTCACTAAGTAAATTGCAAACTAAAATAGAATAAAATAACCTTCAGAATCAACGCAAATAGAGTGACTGCATACGAGGAATTGGATACTGATCTGGTGAAAAATGCGGCATTTACATCATTAGATGGTGTCAGCCTTTCTCTCCTTGCAGAAAAACTCTATAATGAAAATTTAGTGAAAGAACCAGACGAAGTTTGGAATTGGAATCTTCTTTTCACGCAAATTTCTTCTGAGATTAATAGCGAGACGCAGAAAAAAATTGAAACTTAAAGCTTTAATATAAAACTGTAGAAATTTGAACGCGTTATTATTAAAATATTTTTATATTTTAAAGATAAAAAATAAAACTTTATATATAATAGATATACTTCCGATTAGTAATATTCATAAATTGTTTTCCAAGATATAGAAATAATCCTATAATAGCTATATTTAATCATAACTGTAATTCAACATTCCCAAATAGAAGTCTGTAAAAATGTGCAGTATTTTGCTTTGCGTTTGATCAAGTTTATACTCGTTTTATTATTTTTTAAACGTGCTGTGTAAAATATAATAACATCATTCATTAAAAAATTCGAAATCACTTATTATACAACTCAACATAATATAACATTATGGATTAATAAATTGATAAATAATTAAACTACAAGTTTATTGTACTTAAGTAAATAATTATTATTAATAATACAGAAATAATTTATATCTCAAATGAAACTATTCTCAGATAATAACTATATCAAAGAAGTACGCATAACTTGTCAAACTTATTGATACCGAACCAATTAATACATTAATTGGAAAAACAGAAATATTTTACTTTTTCATAATTTCATAAATATTTTGTTAAAAACATATATTGTTAAAAATATTAGAGATTTATTGCTATATGTATATCTTATTTTTAATGAAATTTATTAGATAGATTATTAGATAGGTATTATAATTAATATTTATCTTAATAATTATTAATAATTATTCATGTTTTTAATTTATATCTATCTAATTTCATTCAAAATAAGATATACATATAGCAAAAAACCTCTAATATTTTTAACAATATATGTTTTTAACAAAATATTTATGAAATTATGAAAAAGTAAAATATTTCTGTTTTTCCAATTAATGTATTAATTGGTTCGGTATCAATAAGTTTGACAAGTTATGCGTACTTCTTTGATATAGTTATTATCTGAGAATAGTTTCATTTGAGATATAAATAATTATTTCTGCATTATTTTTTAAAAAACTATTCCAAAGGATATGTTGTAACATCTTTTTCGTGGGATAGTTATTACTATTCTACAGCACCTAATAAAAACAAGCATACTTTTTTTATATAATTCGGGTATGCGCTATCGATCGAACCTATTATCAACTCAATCGGCCCAGCCGTTATTGAGATCCGATAATCTCGGCTCGTCCCAATTTTCGGGCTCGCGTAAAAATACACGGTCGGTCTTGCGCTGCGAACTTGGCGCGAGACGCTACCGTATCTCTTGATATCAACTGGATATGAGATGTCACGGCCTTTTTTCACAACTTGAATAATTTTGACCGACGTATAAATATTTACATTCAAATAGAAAACCAAGTATTTCTTCATTCTTTTGTACTGAACATTTTTCGACAGAAAGGTTTGTATTGTATTTAGTTACCTGGCTCTAGTTAGTTGAATCGGACACAATGTCAGAAATTATTGTAACTAAAGAAAACGTGTGGCAATATTACGAGAAATTGTCGGATTGGGTAGCAAAATGCAAGTTTTGTGCAAATAAATATATGTATATCGACGATCGATGGTTTTATGAACATATACAAAGAACACATCAAGAAATATTTGAATACGAAACATATGAAGGACGACAAGAATGGCCGTGGATATATTTCAAGTATGCGTATAGTTATACGCATCCGTTATCCAATATATGCACCTTATATTTAAAATGTCTTCTCTGTGGTGTAAATTGTGATCATTCTACTATTGAATCTTTAGTAAATCATTTACGCAATCATTCTAACAATAAGAAAGAACTGGAAGATTACGTGTTTCACGATTGGGTGAAGAAATATTGTACAAAATGTACTGATTTTACAATGGACTGTAATTTGTGTTTCTTAAGTAAATACAATTTTTCTTTGGAGAACCATTTAAATGAACATATAACTACACATTCGGACAATTTGGGAAATGAGCTAGAAACATATGACATAGTCACTTCGTTAGAATACGTTCAGGATTCAAAAATTATAGAAATTCAAACAAACATGTGGGAATATTATTATAACAATTTGCCGTATTTTCAAGCAAAATGCAAATTTTGCGTCTTTCAGTGTTGTTACGTAGATATTATAAATCTCCACAGCCATATAGAAACAGAGCATAAAAAAATCTTTGATTGCGAAAAAATACTCGAAGGAGCAAAATCGCCATGGATGTATTTTAAGTATTCGTACCAATATATTTCCAATAAATACAGATTTTATTCAATATGTTTAATCTGTGGTGTAATTTTTCCGTTTACTATGAAATCTTTAAAAAATCACTTAACGCACCAGCATTCTGATGAAGAACTAAAGAATTACACGGGAATATTTCACGATTGGATATGGAAATATTGCAGACAAAGTGATGATAATAATGAAGTAAAGTGTAACATTTGTTGCAAAAACGTATCTGTTTATATTTCTACTGCTATGTATCATGCAATTAAAGAGCATCCAGAAGAATTGCAACGGAATATCTCCAAAAAAAAAACGCAAAAACTGTGGCAAAATTACATAGATTTGAAGGATTTTCAAGCAAAGTGCCGATTTTGCAATTTTCAATTTTATTACATCAATACAACAAACTTTAGTGAACACGTAAAAGAAAAGCATGTGGAAATAAATAAGCACGAAGAAGCATACGGCGAAAAATGGCCGTTCAAGTATTTCAAGTATCTTAACTCAGTTGTCTTACAATGTTGCCTCTGTAATTTAATTTGTTCATTTAATAAGCATGACTTGATAAATCACTTATATCATTATCATTTTTCTTACGTTTTCATATCGAATTACAATTATAACTGCTGGATATGGAAATATTGTGAAAAAAGAGGAGAAGTTGAGGTGCAATGTAGTATTTGTAGCAGCAATATATCTCTTGATGTTCCGTTGTTGTACTTCAATCGTCACATTGAAGACATACATCCCAATAGACTGACAAGTACACAGAAAACGTATGACATAGCTGGACCATCAGGAAGCCAACCAAATTGAAGAAAACAGGTGACAATATGTTTTATTGATATTATTGTTATATATTGTTAATATTTTTATAATTAATTTTTTAATTTTTTCGAATTGTATTTAATTTAATAAATATGTAATGAGAAGAGCAATAACCAGACAATTTGTTTTTAATAAATATTAAAAATATTTACGTAGATTTATCCAGAATTTGACAACGGAATGATGATAACGGCGTTCAAGTAGTATCACAATCAACAATAATGGCAATCTTAATTTTGACGATTCAAATAATTTGAAATACACGAGATGACTTGTTCCACATCACGGATACTTAATTTTAATTTTATTTTCTTGTATCTTTATGTTCATGTATCTTCGTTATTTCTCGTATTTTACGTAACGAACTTACTATTACAATTTCTGTAGAGATCGCGGAAATGTAATACACCAGTTGTTGGTAAAATATGACAATTTAATTTTACTAGTTGTATTTGATCTATATAAGATTGATGCAATATTGCAATATTGTCGCAATGTTGCTGCAATGTTTTGTGCTGTGTTGGGAACTTGAACTAATTTTATCCTAAGTTTATTTAAAAATGTATAGTTATTTTTATGATTAAAAGATAGGAATAAACGTAAGAATAATAGAAACAATAGTAATAAAATTTAATGTAATTTAGTGTAAAATGTATGTATATTATGTTACTAAAATTAAACATATTATGAATCTAATGTAAGAATATATATAAATAGTGTTTGAATTTTTTAATTACAAACATCTAAAAAATTGTGTCATTTTATTATTTTTATATAATGCATATTTAAAAATTTTTTGTCTATTCGCCTAATGTTATAATTCTTTGTTAATTTAGTTTCCGGCACATGAGTGTTGTAGAAATAGAAATGACATATTTGGATGACACGCGCGCGCGTATGTAATAATTCGAGACTGACAATGAATACAAACTTGGATATATGACATGTAATAATAATTTTTATATTTATAAAATATATACAGGGTGGCCGATGATTGCTGAATCACCTCTCGGGTGTAGGTAGAGCGGGTTAAACCGAGTAGAAAAGTCCTCTACCATTTTGCGATTTTCAATAATTAATGAGGAATTAGTTAAAAAATATCTGCCAATTCGCGCGAGTTTAAGCGCGCGACGAGAAGAGTACCCGTGGCGATACAGCCAAAATAATAATAATAATCTCGGAAATAAACGGAAATTAACTACGAAGTGACCGGAGGTATGTAAGACCGAGTTTCCACCACACTTTCGTCAGCTGGTTATTCAGATTTAATGTCACCCAGAATGTTTTAGTAGATATTGGTTGATATTGTGCGCGTTCGAAGTTCAGAATAGGAAGGTGGATTTTTGACACATATGGTGAGTAAAGCTGACGAAAATGTTCAGTGTGGTGGGAACTCGGTCTTACATACCTCCGTTCACTTCGTTGGCGGGCAGCGCGCGACACGTTTAGACCCAACTTCACGACTTCATATCTCCGGTTCTGTTAATCGCAGATAGCTCCCCATAGTCGCATTTTTTTCGTCATAAAGTCTACTTACAATAATGTCCTATGCACTTTCCTCGTCCGAGACGTCGGAAATGTTTACGAAGGCAAAATGTAAAAACTTGGTATTTTCAAGCGATTTCTAATTTTTTTTACTCAAACTTTGAACCGCTGTATCTCTGAAATTATTTGTCGCACAGAGCTCTGATTGGTATTATATTATTTGTACGAAAATAGAGAAGATAAAAGTATTCTACGACTTTTACGAATTTCTCCATAGTTTCGTAGATATAGCACAAAAAGTGAAAAGTCATACATATTTCAGCTTATTATTTACTATCTTTCGCTCTGAAATCGTGAACGCAAAATGAAACTTATAATATTTACACCTAAATAAAGCATTTAAAACAATAAACAGCCTTTTGGGAATTATTTTCTGTTTAATGTCTCTGGGGACTGGCTTATCAAGTGCAATAATGATTTAATCAGTACGCTCAGGGCCGCTTTTATACTTTTGGAAGTCTTAGGCGCAACATCATTATGAGGCCTCAAAAGAACAAGTCTATTTCAGTTGATCAAATTCATACGCATTTTTTTTAAGTTTATTGAAAATAAAATTCAACGTGCATTACATGATGCAAAAAGGCGAAATTTAATGAACAATTACTACTTACAAATTTTTCAGTGGCCTCTAATTTTTATGTTATGAATTTAATATTTAAAAGTATTTTATTTTGCAACTATAACTAGGCTGTTTTTTATATTGTTATTTAGAAATAAGGAGTAAGGAGTTATTGAGGAGTAAGGTTTTAAAATAAGGCTCCGGCTTGCGCCTTATGGTAAATGCGGCGTGACTACTTACTCTTTTCCATGCCGATGCAATTTTGTTTCAGAATTGATACAAAAGATACATAATATACAATTGATACATAATGTACAAAAATATATGAATACCCACACAGCATGCATATTCGGGGGATGTTCAGAGAACATCTCGAATATATCGTATCTCTCAAAGATATCTTCGGAACATCTTCTGGACATCTTTGGATATGTGTGCTGTGTGGGTATTGTTTAAGTCGTACATTGAAGATTGATGATTGCAAATTGGGGACTGAAATCCGAATTTTTTAAACAAAGTAGGCTAAGTTAAAGATTATTTGACTGATTTGATTGAATTTTAATTTTCAATTCGTAAATTTCCAAAGTGCGGTCAATATGGATTATGCAGATATAATACGGAAATCTTTTTACGAAGACAAAGGACAATGCTGAGAAGAGACAAAAAAACATTTAAGGGTCAAACCATAAAAAATGGCGAACTGCTATCTGCAGTGCCTGGATATGGAAGCGACAAATTACCTCGTCTGACCTATTCGAGTTCCCCCCAATTTGGAAATCGCGGTACTTCGAGGAGCGACGTGAAGACTCAACCGTGCAGGCGTGCAAATCCGAGGTCGTAATAAAACTACCACGAATATACATGCGCAATCGGGAATCTGACACACAAGCTACTTGAAGCTTACGACAACGTGACAACACTTACTGAGCAGATCTGCCATATCTCTACGTTAGCGATCAATGTTCAGTTGTGCTATCACTAGCACACGCTTCCGTCATTACTTTTCGTAGCAAACTATATAAAGTGAACTTCATGTTGAAATGTACATGCGAGAAATCAATGTCCAGAATATCCTTCAAAAGATATCATACTAGTTCTATTTCCTTAAAATATTATTTCAAATGTCTCTGTAGACATTTTATTAGATGATATAATTCCGTTAATAAATTATTAATGAAGATTTTACGAGTTTTTCTTAAAATATTAAGTTCTGAAAGACAATTTATTAAGCCAAACGCCATCTAGTGGCAGATGGAACCTTGTTCTTTCACCGATGAGTGAAAAAGCACGGCACATACTGTAGCTATCAGCTTGTATCACTAGCCTTATAGTCAATTAGAAGAATATTAAAATACAATATATGAAGAAAAATTAAAATTAAGATTTACGAGAATGTAAAAGAAGAGTTAATGAGAGCTAATATTGAAAAATAAATATGAAACTATTAGAAATCAACAAGGTGACTAATAATCACTTATTGTTAGCTTTAACCTAAATTAACATAACCTCAGTCAGTTATAAATTCTAAATAATAAGGGACAACGTGTTAACATTGGAAATTCTGCGTATTAACTGCGTGTTCACTGTGTTCGCATCATGGTCAAGCCTGTTTGTCAAACTCATTAATGATGACTGAATATTGACCGTGGCGACTATTGACGTTCTTTAGTCCATTTAATGTTCATATTTGTGCCGATGCTTATCAAAACCTAGTTTAACCCGAGTGTTGTGAGTGTGCGCGTACCGAACGATTGATTATGTGATGACAAATTAAACTTTTTAACTTTCTTGCGTGTTTGAATCCACATTGATACATTAATGATACGGTACATTGTTATATACCACCAGAATTTGGGAATAAGTATCAAATGATTCAAAGTAGCTGCTCCGTAATTATTTAGTAAGTACATTACTCTTTTGGAAAATGTGTTAATTTAAGACATAATTACTTATATAAATTAAAACAATAATTATAAATAATTATAAATTATAAATAATAATTATATATATTATACTTTTAAACGCTATAATTATTGTAATTTTAATTAAAAGTATAATTTGACACATCTTAATTTAAGATATTTAATAGATTTAATTTTTTTTAGATTTGAGTAAAAAAAATACATGAAAAACATATAAGCAAATATAGCAACATGTTTAGAGATACGCAAAAAATTGTGGTGGAAGATGGGCTTGCTCCATCAGCCGCATACGTCATAAATATTAGAATGGAAGATTTATTGGAGAAGTTAAAATTATTAAATTATGACGCTGAATTTGTGCAAGAGCTAAAAATGAAACCAATAAACAGGTAAGACGTTATGTTTTTAACGCAATATATTATGTTTGACATATGATAAGCTTATCACATATATTTGAAATATACAGGCACTACTTTGTAATTCCGACAAATCCCGGCGAACAGTTTTATACATTCACTTGTCTGGCTGCGTGGTTGATTAGAAAGTCTGGAAAAAGCATCGAGATGCCACAAGAGTCTGACGATCCTAATTCCACGATAGCTTTAATCTTGGATTATCTCAGAGAAATTAACGTATCCGTAGAATTTCCACCCAATAAGCTTAAACAGGGCACTGGAGAACATGCAATTTATGTTTTGGATAATTTGGCTGACAATGCTCTAAAGGTGGAAAAATTCAAATGGAAAAAGTAATTGATGTTTCTTTGTTTTAATTTTTTATACAGGGTGTTCCAGAAACAATAATCCAAAGAAAACCTAGCGATAAGGGACATTTATTACCCCCTGAGCGCAATAAAGGATTATCTAAAATCCAATGGTTTTCCAAAACTACTCAATGGATTCAGCTGAAATTTAGCACAGACATACTTCGGTAATGCAGCTATTAGATAATGTATCAGGTCAACTACGTGCGTAAACGCTTATAAATTTCAATATGATCAATGATCGCTGACGACCAAGTCGCCAGCGACTAATCGACACTGCGCAAATGGCCTTAACGAGTGGGTTTCTTAACGAGACTACTGTAACTTATTTAGCAGAAAAATATTTTAGTTATTCTTAAAAATTTCAGCTGAATCCATACCTATAATCCTATATTGGTTCAGGGGGTTAGTAATGATCCCCTATCGCTAGATGTACTTTGGACTACTGTCTCTGGGACACCCTGTATATGATTAATCATACTACTGATTTATAACTGAAAACGTTAGGGTAAACATTCCACCTGACGAACCTACACCAGAGCCAGATATCGAGGACGATGATGCGGAATTAATTTTAGAAAAAGTGGAGGAAGAAATGATGGCTGATTACGATGATGACGATCAAGATATTTTGCACATAGACGATATTACGAAACTTTACGGTCAAAACGTCGTATGTAGAATTTTATCTTCGGATATGAAGATAATCGCATATGAAGATAATCCTATTACATGCAATGTTACTTATTATTATGATTTTTTTTCAGAGCGAAACGAAAAAACCAGACAGTATCTTAGAATCTAATACTAACAGAGACGAATGGCAATTAGAGTTGGAGAAAGTTCTACCTCGGTTGAAAGTGACTGTTAAGACAGGTATCGTGTGATTGTATAGGGAAAATCGGCTTTTTAATTGAAGTGTTCATTCAGAATAATTGCTATTATGTATTCCAATTTTTCACAGATTCGAGAGATTGGAGATCGCATCTCGAACAAATGAAACAATTACGTACAAATATTGCGAGCAATCTAAGTGGTACAAAAACTCACTTAAATAAGATCCATACCGATATCGAGGGTACTTTAGATAAGATCAAAACTAGAGAAACTTATCTAAATAGACAACTGGAACCCTCCTTAACAGAATATCGCTCATTGCAGGTGAGCTTACGTTTTACATATATACAAGGAAGAGCCAAAAAGGAGGAAACCTCCAGGAATCCCGGAGTCGTCTGTTTTACCGACTTTTTTAAAATACACTTTACTTTTTTTTGGCTGTGTAGAATGAAAAATCCTTTCAAATCGACCGTCCAGACTGTATTAGCATGTACTTTTAATTACAGAAAAGGATTTTTCATTCTACACCAAAAAACAGTAAGGTGTATTTTTAAAAAGTCGGTAAAACAGACGACTCCGGGATTCCTTTAACAGGGCGAAAAGGGATTGTAAATTTTAGAGTTACTTTTTGACTTTCTTTCGTATATTACACCAAACACAACATTACTCCGCAATAATGCTAATGAATTTAGGAAGAGCTATCAAAAATCAAAGAACAGTACAGAGATGTTAGTGGCGGTGTCACTGAACGGACCAGAGTTCTTAACAAATTAATGGAAGATTTGGAACATGTGAAGAGAGAAATGGACGAAAGAGGATCTAGTATGACCGATGGAAGTAAGTACAAAATCAGATATCAGAAATAATTCGGATATCTCAATGTTGATCTTATTTCAAAATATCTGCAGCTCCGCTTATCAACATAAAAAAGACAATCACAAAGATGAAGAATGAAATCTCCGAGATGAATATTCGAATCGGAGTACTGGAATATAGTTTGATGTGCGCGAGGATACGAGATCGAACGCAATTGCGGGAGGATATGAATAGCACGAGTGCTTCAGTAATAATTTAAATCGTACAGTCTTATTATTTGCTACATATATATATCCTAATCCGTCCGACGGCCGTATAATATAACACGCGAAGAGAGTCGCGTATCTAGTCTTGAAATCCGTCCATGTGATGTCACACGCGAAAAGAGTCGCGTGTCTAGTCTCGAATCGTTACGTGTATCGTTACCGCGGGTCCAATTTTATTCTGCCTTCAATAAAGTTACGATAATGCAACAATACAGAACTGACCGTACTACATTAATTCCAGTGTGGAGCATACGAATTTTTCGTTAGCACTTTATACGTTTATATGTAACACGTAATTGATAACTGATATGATCAGAGTGACTGTTTTAATTGCATTTCGCTGTGTTGAATAAATCGTTTTCTTATTGTTATTCTCGTTGGAAATCTTATTTTGTTTGCTTGAAAACCTGTTATATTTATTAAAAATTCCAAGCTTCTTTCCATATATATCGCGGCCTTCAAAGTTGTTGATTGTCCATAATGTCGCGCGACAACACACGCGCGCACGTATAACGATGTAGAATAGAGGGGTGATGCGTGTGTATGTCCGAGTTCGACATCCTCGAGGATTGGTAAGCGGCACAGTCGGCGCGCGAATTGAGCGCATTCATGACTTGCATCGCAGTTCGAGTTGAGCGCAAAGTTGAGTGCCGAATATCCGTATGACGCGTGGTGTAAAAAGAAACGCGAAAGGTGCACTTCGACTCTGAGGATTAATTTTGACGGGTGGGTAAAAACGTTTGTCCATCATTGATCTTCGATCTGACTTCTTATCAAATTCTCAAGTTATCGATGTATGCTATATCGAGGTGAGATAATATACGTTTACTAAATACGTTCATTATCACTGAAATATCTTGATTATCGTATATACTCATCGGAGAACGTATTGTTGAAATAAAATTTACGAGATACGAAATAATCTGAAATTTACTGATTCAGATATATGCATTGCGGCGTTTCACTTCTATCGTTTGCCACGCGAACAAAGAATTTATCCGACTAAGGTTTGTAATTACACACCTTTGTGCGATTAAGTACAATTCGGGTATTTCAGTATCGAATAACAAAAAGTAATTCAGCAAATGAAGATAACTGTTATATGCATCACTAAGATTATCACTATAATTTATAAAAAAAATTTGTATTTAATTTGTGATGACTCATCTAACTTTATTATATTCATATATTTAATCTTTTTCAAAACAATCTAAAATTTACGAGAAAACTATTTTTTATTAATTTTACTTCTCATAAACTTCTCGTTATTTGAAAAACAATGCACATTTAAAGTGCAAATCGAGAGATATTAGAAATGATAACTTATATTTCTTATCACTGACAAAGATTACATTTGAATTAGCAGCTATTAATATTAACTTCAGTTCGCAACAAACTCAGATTCATTTATCTCTGTCGGCTGACAGGATGCGATAAAATAGGATGTAAATTTTTTACAGATTTGCTCGGTGCTATTATGCTATGCGCAGACTGGTAAAGTGTTTTCTCCTCGTCACTTTCTCTTCAGTAATTTGTTCGCATTTCTATTTTACGCGTATCTGACGCGGAACATGTTAAGCAATCGTTGATATATTGCGATGTACGCTAAAGAATTATAATAATATAATAAATAAAACATATGAAAAAATAACAATATTTTTATCTTGAAATGATTTTCTGTCGAGCACATTTTAGCAGTATGTATTACAACAGTTTATTCCAAAAATAATACTAAAGCAACTGCGAAAACAAACTTAGCATAAATAAATTATTTGCATTGCATTTAAACTCATGCATTTTTTTTTTTTTGTAGAAAAGAGATACATAACTAATTTAAATTATACTCCGATAAGAAAACACACTAAAAATGAAAAAATATCGATTAAATATAAAAAGATTAAATAGCTACGAATTTATTAAACTCAAAAATACGTACTTTTATGTTCACTGATAGGAAAAAAAATTTATTTCGCGATGTCGATTGACATCCGCATAACAAAGCTGATTATAAATAAAACAAACGTGATAAAAATATCACAAAACATTTTATAATCATGCGCAGAAAGTGTCTGACTAGAATGCACAAATAAATTACAACATAATATTTATTAAATTTAATTCACATTTTCAACATTTTAATTTGTTATATTAAATTTCGATAACTTTTTCAAATATTTTTCTTCAGAAGCCGCGCATTAACAGTTACTTGCAGAATTGTGTTATCTTTTTACTGAAATTTTAAAATAGATTTTAAGAAGATGTAAATTTCTTGTTCAAAGTTATTTGAATTTCTAATTTAAATATTGCTTTAACATGCTGTATGTCAATACGTTCTTGAAATCATTTCTGCTATGTGTCATCGTGAATATTTATCTCTTATTAAAAAGATCTTTGGAAAGAGTCACGCCCGTTGATTCATCCCCGTTTAACGTACACATGTGTGAATAAAAAACTATCGTTCCACGGATATTTTTATCTACAGTTTGAATGATTTACCAGCACATCTGTTATACATACATGTATTCATGGTTGCGAACATTGGAATAAATGCGAACTTTGAGCGATGATCATGAAATATATTTATAAAAAAGTAGATCGTAAAAGAATGCAGTTCTCCCACTTGCATATTCACTGCTGAATGATTAGTCATTGTCGATTTATCGAACGACGAATTAGTACTTGCAAAGCATTGCGCTTGCCGTCTAATCCGCCTACAATTTTTCCTTGAAGGTTATACGTTATAGTTTTCAAAAAATGACCGATATTATCGAGATGACTGTCGTAGAAGATGACACATCGACTCTTAGAGTAAAGTAAGATGTAAATTCACTAGACGTAGATTCTCATAGAATGAAATCATATGTGCTAAGAAAAACACGATAGATATAATCGTATCGATTTCTTGGTTATTAAGAAATTTCGGTCTAATTCACTTTTTATCATTCAAGTTGCTTAATTATTACGCAAACATCATCCACATTGACAATGCTTGAGAAATTCAAATAAACTCAATTGAAGTAAAAATATATCTGTTCTAATCAGTGTATTTTTTCAGATCTTTGCTTTGATTAATTATATCTGAAATCTCACATGTTTACTTCAATCTTTTATAAATTTTTACCAGGAAATTTTCTAACGTTTTCAAAAAGAGAAAAAGTGATCGCATAGCGAGTTTAATAAATACAAAAATGTTAAAAAATCACATGTTTGCAGTTTTGCTTTAAAGATTTAAAAATAAGAAAGTTTTCATAAACATAGATAAAAAGACTTGCTTCTATAAACGGTTAAAAGTGGTATTTTTCTTAAGTGTAAAATAGATAACAAATCCTTATAATATATTCTTTATTTATTAATTTTATTTAAACGCAATTTTACTACGCAATAAATAAGATATGTACGAAAAAATTGTCTAAAGATAACTGTATATAAAAAATAATTGTTTACTTTGTCTGATATCTAGAAAAGTCGAACATAAGCTCCTACTACACATTATTGTAAAATATTATTTCCGTGTTTTCAACCGCAGTTGAAAGGAGAAAAGGTGTCTTGTACCTACTTTTAAGGAATCTTATCTTAGCTTGATAAAAATGAGATGATTGCTTTGCCCAATATTTAATTTTATCAGGATGAAATACTTGAAATCTGACATTGTTGTTAATGTCACTGATATTCACATTCAGTCGTCAGACTTTGTGCCGGACGGTTATATTCTAATACTGGATTCCGATATACGTATAAATGTTTGCGAAAAAATACACAGAAATAAAATAACGATTTTAACGTGTCGGAAATTCGTCATAAATTAAGAGAGCATCGCGCATTATAATATGAAAATAATCGTGAAAATTCGTGATCGCACTTAATGAATCACGTCTAATTAGTTTCTCGAGGAAAAGCAATCTGTCGTTAAAAAAAAATTGGTAAAATGATCGATCAATCAGTTGTTCCAGAAAGTCCTAATGCACGCAGATATGCGACTGCTTCGAAAACATCTGTGCGGTAAGAATTTTCGCGAATATATCTGTGCAGAATATCTCGATACAACCGAATAATTAATTCAACGATTTTTTAGCTAATTCTAAATTTAAATCACAAATTGGGTACAACGTTTAAAGTATCGAAAACATGACCATACGTCTACGCTGCAAAATAACTTCAAGAAATTTGTTTTTATTTATTCCGCTCGCCTGTCGTTATCTCAATCCTTAAAATTGTCTTTTATCTTAACTCTTAAAATTGTTAAAAATCTTCCGATACAGAATTAAAAATAAATTTTTGTATTGTTCGAACTTATTAGTTTATTCTACACTAAATTCAAAAAAATTATCTCGTTTTTTACAGAACTGTTATTTGAAATTCAAAAATGAACGAAGTAATTAAATAGTTACTCATTTGAAGATAATTTTTTCCAATAGCATGCAAATTATCTAGACGTCACATACATGTTATTTAGTTATTAACGTTTTCACTTATGAAAAATACTGCAGAATATAACATAACAAACAATAATGTCAAAATAACATTATGTAACGTCACGCCACGTTACGTGATTTTTACTTCCAGAGCAATTTTTCTTCTGCTCTTTAACAAAATATTTTTGTAACATTTTCCTTATCGCGTGTAAAAATAACATAAAGTAAAAGATAAGTTTAAGCTGAAAAATTTATAGTATTTAAATTTTAATGTTGAGACTGCAAACATCACAAGGCTATAAAGCGGAGAATATTTCACAATCTAAACACTTTAATATTATATTATATTAATTATTATATTATATAATATATTATATTATATAATATTATATAATATATTATATTATATAATATTAATTATTATATTATAATAAATTTAATTTGTAACATTAAATTATATGCATTTATTCACGATTTATTTTTTGAGAACAGCGTGTGCTATCTTGCTTTTCCTTGCTGTTATTTTTCGCTGCCTTTTTTTAGCCACAAATTTTCTATTGTCTTTCAAATCTTCATCTTTATTCATTTTTTCCTCTTAATTAATATTTAATTATACGGCACATCGCGTTAAAAAAATTAATTTTGCTCTTTTTTGCTTGTGTTATATTAGTTTTGAGTGTAGAAAGTGCAACACAATATTAGCAGAAGGAAGTAATAAAAGAGACTGAAAACCAGACTTATAACCCACAAGTCTTCCGACGCGCGTGACGCGTGCACTATGAAATTTTCATGTACATATGTGCAAAAATTACAATTTTGCGTAATCAATGTGTGCCGTAAACTGTATTGCAAATATTTTAATGCGAGACAACTTTCCTTTCGTTCCAACCAGTGGGCCTTCAATATAGCGAGATAAATACGACGAAGTAGGTTAGTGTTGGGTTAGCACACCCAATATAAGAATTTACATAACATCGAGCCAATCGCACATATATCAGTTTTATAAATATATAAAAAATATATTTATTTACATTTCAATTAACATATGATGCATCCAAATTATGCAACGTTATTTTAGGGTGTTTTATAAGAAAGGACACTGTTAGCTAAAAGCTATGTAAACATGTTTGACCTTTTTAATTATGGATAAAACAGGCATGCAAAACATACTGGACCCCAGAATGTTTATTTTATGCCTAATTAGAACTGCTGTATTTATTATTTTGCATATACTATATGCAAATATTTCATAAAGAATATTTGCCTTGACCTGGTACATGCTAGAATATATTATTTCATTAGATATTTTTGCACACTATTAGAAGTACTCGTTGTTCCATGAATGATTTTGTACACAATCACTACTTTTGTACAATCACTACTCTTTCTTGCAACATCAGATTCTATTTACAAGAGATTTTTTAAAACTTAGTAATTAATCACTTCAGATTAGTCTAGACAGAGTGGATAAGAGTGGATAAGAGTGGACAAGTCTAAAACTTGAGATTGTAGAAGTTTATCTTGAAATATTTCGATGCAATACAGTTTGCGTAATTTTTTACAGATAGTACTCATTAATTCAAACAAACACAAATCAAGCTACTTAATTTTGTAAGAAACGTTTTGTGTGTGCACTGTGTAAACGCTACTGTACAATTCTAATGTTATAAAATAAAATTACTGATAATTTGTTTATTTTTTAGACCTGTGATTCCGGCAAAAATGGGGAATAAAAAAGTTATAGTTACCTCAACAGTCGGTATAATAGTCATGATTCTTGGCATAGTTCTGGGATCGGTTTGGATTACTCATCTATACAATTGGACTATGTTAAAGGTAAGCTTAAGAAGTATGAAAAGGTTATCAAATTATTCATATATGTTAGATAATCTATGTTTAATATGTTCAATGCACACATTTTTATGTAGATATTAACATTAACACCAACATCTATAAGTTACTCTATGTGGAAGGAGACTCCGATTCCAATGTATTTAAAGTTTTATATGTTCAACTGGACAAATCCACACGAGTTTCAATCATCAAGGGATGCGAAACCACATTTTGAGCAAATGGGGCCTTACGTTTTTCGGTAGCGTTACTTCTGCAAAATTTGTTGCGATATTTAACGTGACATCAAGGTTAGAAAGAGATCATATATATTTATTTGCAGAGAAATTGATTATAAAGTGAACCAGGTGTGGAATGATAACGGAACTGTCACATTTCAAAGAAGAAAGGTTTGGTTTTTCGAAGAATCATTATCGAATGGGAGCCTATCTGATCAAGTAACCAATCTAAATCCAATAGTTGCGGTAAGGCATTATTGTATGTAGGCGACTGAAATGTATAATTTCTTGTGCGTGTTACATGACAAGTGATCTCCAATTCTAGACGATTGGACATTTCGTAAAAGATAAACCTTCGTTTGTACGTAAGTTGGCGAATGGGTTTATAGTACGTCTAGGAGAGAAGTTAGTAATAACTAAGAGTGTAAACACGCTAATATTCGAGGGATTCAATGACACGTTGTTGGAACTTGCGCGACAGATGAAAGCGACTAAATTACCTTATGATAAGTTTGCATGGTTTTACGCGGTGAGTGTAGTGAATCTAATGATGTATCATGCATCAAGCAATTCCATGTAGCCCTTCAAATGTAAACTATAATCTTTTTCCTTTCTTACAGAGGAATGGTTCTGATAGTTACGATGGTACATTCAATATGCTGACTGGAATAAATAGCTTCTATAAGATGGGAGAGATAAAAGAATGGAATTACAGTAACAGAACGGATTATTACAAAAGTTCATGTGGTATGATATCTGGAACGGCTGGCGATTTTTGGCCACCTTTACCGAAAAATCATAATGTATCTCTCTTTGTGCCTGACATTTGCACGTGAGTAGCAAAATGTATTGTAGAGAATAATACATATTACACTTCACTTAATACAAAAGCAGATAAAACTATCAAAATAAATACTTGAATTTAAATATCAATCATACATTTTCTATCTTAATTACGCAGATCTTGCTATCATTCTTTATCTCAGAAATATATTTTTCTTGGTTTTAAAAAAGTTGATGTTAAATTTTGGATAGATTGAGTTACAATTTGCCAATTGTACTTTTATATAAGTATTGTTTGTGCATATAAATTATTTATATTAATAGTAGAAATTAAATTAACATAATCCACTTATTGTTTAGATTTCTGAAGTTAGCATACGCAAATACAACGACGTTTGAGGGTATAGTAGGGAAGAAATATATTGGAGATGAAACAATGCTTGATAATGGTAAAATTGTGCCATCGAGAAAATGTTATTGTCCCAACGGGAATTGCGCACCTAGTGGACTTTTAGATATTTCATACTGTAAATATGGAGCGCCGGCGTTTGTTAGTATGCCGCACTTTTATCTGGCAGATCCGAGTTATAGGAATGCTATATCAGGAATGGCACCTGATAAAGAAAAGCATCAACTACTTCTGATAGTAGAACCAGTAAGTATTTCACATAATTATATCACCAGCTAAGTTAGAAACGGCAAGTATATTATACTGTGTGGATATTATATGAAAAAAAATTTTTAAAGACTACAGGTATCCCATTGCGAGTTAAGGCGCAACTGCAATTAAACTTGTTGGTGGAACCAGTGGAGTATATGAGGTAGATAGACTAGATTAGCTGTAGGTACAGATAGTTTGGAATACTCTCTCTCTCTTTAAGAACATTTTATTTAATTTATCTTCAATTTTTTAGCATATTCGAAAATATCAACAAGACTTATATTCCGATGATGTGGTTTGCCCAAGAAGCTAATCTAACTGCCAGTTATGCGAGTACAGTTAAAATATTTTTAGTTCTTCCGACACTGGGCACCGTAACATGCTTCGGAATAGCCGGCATTGGAATCTTGGTATTTTTCATCGGAATTTTTATTTACATTCGACAAAAATGGCGAGGAGAGGAAGGTCAGGTGTTATTATCCAAATATGACAACAACGTTACGAATAATCCCGTCGCATAGTAATTGCTTTTCCTTTAGTGCCATCGATAGCAATAGGGTATTTTTACTTGCTTTTTACTTTACTTCCTTTACGATGACATTCAGGCTTCCTTCTTCAATTTGCAAAATAATTATAGAACAGAGAAAAGACTGTGTCAATGTCTTATAAATATTTGATGAAAAACAGTTAAAGTTTCGTAAGAGTATAAAAGTGCCTACTTTCAGCTGCTAGTGTAGCTAGGGATTCAACAAATAATCACTAATAAGGGTAGTTCAAATAGTCAATAAGATGTAAGTGTTAAACAAAACAAAGTAAAAATTTATTTCTACATTCGATAAGATACGAAATAAATATAGATTTTATTCAATGCTATGAATTCATGATATAATATGCGGAACACGTTGGATCATCCTTTTGATGAGATGTGCAAATGCATATTTTGAAATGCAGTAAAAGAAAATCTATTAATATTACTGGCACTTTATTAGATATGTATTACGGCAAAAAGAGATTATTTTAATGAAATTAGAAATTGTTCCTGCTCTCTACAGAAGAGACTGTTTCAAACAAGTCAGGAATAATTTTATAGACATTTGAAACTTTAATATGTACATAAGAGAAATTTGATTCTAGCGATTTCTCTGTTATGCCTAAGCAATAAGAGTTACCATTCCGAAAACTGTATTCATACTTTTATTACACGGTGAAGGAATTCGCGAGTTTCGATTTTAAGGGATATTATTTACATTTTTTTAATCTTGAAAACATTAACCACTTCAGTGGTAGACTTTTCCGAAGGGTTTGTGCCAAAAGTGGTAAGAGTCAAAAGTTAAAATATCGAAAAACGGTGAGACACGGGTTCAAAGTTTTCGAAAAAGCTACTTTTCGGAATGGATGTGGATCGTCGAGTGGGGACTCATTTGAAAGGGCTTTTCAAGACGATTATGATTGTGTAAACCAAAATGTGGGGGGTCGTTAAAATATTTAACCAGCTAATGATAGAGGTAAAAAAGAATTCTTTATTTTGACATCTCAAAAAAGCCTTTGTGGACCAAGTACTATGCGAATATGTTAGAAATTATTGGTTTGAACAATTAACAGTCGTCATATTGGATCCGCCATTTTAAATTTTGCAATTTTGACATCAAATTCGAATTCAGCAGCCCAAAAAACTTTAGGGTATTAAAGTTTATACAAATTTGTTAAAAATTATTGAAGTTATTTAAAAATGTACATATATGACACATTACCACGTTTGGCACTTTTTTTTGTACATATATGATACATTACCACTCAACTGGTTAAGCAAGAAGTTCAAGAAATAGTAAAATTACGCGTCTAAAAATCTATTTCAATAGAAGAAGTAGATTTTAATAGGCGAAATTTTACTATTTTTTAATTTTTACTTTTAATTCTTTAATCAAAAATTACGAATAAAGGTTGACGACATATATATGGTAAAACATAAATGTTGTGCAAATGTGTAAGTACGAATAATATGGAAGAATCGTTAGTTTGGAAGAATATCGTCATAAAGTTAAAGGAGTATCTAAAAGATTGTATGTGATAAATATATCATAGTCTACAAAAATAGTAGGATCTCGCTTCAAACAAAAAGTAAATGAACAAATATATATTATATATTTGTTCGTTTACTTTGAGATCTACATACTATGTCTTATTAAATGTAAAAAAATAATAATTCCGACGGTCTTTTTCCAAGCCAACAATTTTTTTTGTTTGATCATGTATAAAATCTCGGGAAGAAAAGTTTACAATCTTGGAGTGCTCAAAATCGTAGGGACCGATAAGGGCTGTGATCTTGGGTTTAATCTTCTAACAATTATTTGTCACGATTGTAGCCTTCTGACGAAATGCAAACTGTTCACTAATAATCTCAGAATCCACATAAATAATCGATAGGCAACAAATACAACGCTAATGGATCATGTGCAGCGAAAATTTTTATCATTTGATGCAAGTTTTGTTGAATGATTGAATTATGGCAAAATTAAATGTTGCAGTAAGATGCGGGAACTTTAGAAGATATGTTCAGAAGCAATGAATATCGCATTACATGAAATTATTAAAAGATCTGTTTATTTTATACTGTTTACTCTACTGTTTACTCTATAAATAAAAGCTCTGAAGAATATCAGCTGAATTAATTTGGATTAGTAAATCCAGATTAACATATCACTGTAACATTCGCTTAATTTTGTACTATGATTTCCGCAGCTTCGGACACAGTAAAATATATTGTATTCTCGCACGATTGAACTTTAATACTTGTAATCCTAAATATCTGTGATATTCACTGGAGAAAATGTATGTGCGCGAAAATATTGTGAAAAAATATAAAACCATTTTATCGAAAGTGCGCATTATTATTCATCGTACCTTTATTGCGATTATATGAGAGATCCTTGTAATATAATTTACTTAAGCTTATACTGTTTTGTGTAAAAGGGAAGCTTATGTAATTAAGGGTGTAATTAAGGGTTTTTTTCTGCGAAAACTAATGGAATAGTTAAAGTGATTAGCCTAGAATTACGACAAAAGAAAGAATTCTTCTTATAAGTATTTTTATCGATAACTCGATAATCTTGAATTTTCGGACATTAATTAAGTTATAAAGCATGTCACATTTACCCAGTCATGCTTTATCCAGATGACAATTGATTCTGACAGCAGCTGAGCTAATTTTGAAACGACACTCCGTGCATAACAATTTATCGAAAAGTTTCTTTAATTTATTCTCGCTTCGAAATGCTGCACATTTAGCATTTTAATACCACCCTGTTAATGCATTTTCAATGATGAACGCGATTTAATAAGCTGACAAAAAGACACTTTTTTTTATAATATTATGAAACAGTTTTTATAATCAAACAATTGCGCATTATTTTCTCAACGTTAGTCTTTAATTAAAATAGTAATTAAATATAGATACATATCAAACTTCTTTCTTTCTCCCTAAATTTTAAACTTTCTACCGCATAATGTTTTGCAACCTTTATTATATTTTCCGGATGAATTCTAATTAATTCCTAGCTTATCATCCATTGTTTGTCGATAACTAATTAACGAAAGATGATTGGTTATATTTGTTCTGTTTATTCTGCGGCATTTTCTATGCAAAGTAACAAGATTAATTTCTTTCTGAAGATTTGCATTTCTTTATTCTCTTCACTTTTCGAAATTCTTTTTGATAAATAATAAATCTATGTAATAAAGAAAAATAATATCTCATATCCAAAGTCTCGGAACAGTGATCTGTACAAGCTGTCTTTACAAAGGACTTCACAAAGAGATAATGAGCAGAAAATGTCTTGATCTCTTTTTTATGAAACTTTTTATTAAAGTAAAGTATTAAAGTATAGAGATGAGACAAAGCTTTATTAAAAAAAATTGGCTTAAGATTTTTATTATAATATATACGTGTGTTATTAAATAATAAATATCTGTTCTTTAATACCGCAATAGAACCGCAATAATCCAATGAATTATTAGGAGTACAAATTAGTTCGGTCCGTTTTCCAAAAGATAACTCTAACTGTTGTGAACGGTTTATAGTGACAGCTGATTTTGGCGGTTTCAGAGAGGTTAGACATCTGCTAATAATATTCAGTTTATATCGCTTTGAGTTTCATACAGAAACCTTGATTTTTACTGTGTTCGAAATGTCGAATTTTGTGCTAACCAAGCAGCATTTGCGGGAGGTTTTAATTTTCTGCTTTAATTGGAAGAAAAGTGCAGCTAAAGCCCATCGAATGCTTGTCGAAGTTTATGGTGACACTGCTCTAACTGATAAATCATGTAGGGAATGGTTTCGACGTTTCAAGGATGGAGATTTCAGCGTTGAAGACAAGCCTCGCTCTGGACAGCCAAAAAAAATCGAAGACAAAGAATTAGAGGCATTACTCGAAGAAGATCAGAGTCAAACGCAAGAGGAGCTTGCAGGATCATTGGGAGTAACTCAACAAGCCGTTTCTGTACGATTGAGAGCCATGGGAATGATACAAAAACAAGGAAATTGGGTGCCTTATGAACTCAAACCGAGAGACGTTGAAAGGCGATTTTTCACTTGCGAGCTGCTGATTCAAAGGCAACAAAGAAAAGGTTTTTTGCATCGGATTGTGACTGGAGATGAGAAGTGGATATTCTACGACAACCCCAAGAGGAAAAAATACTACGCTGAGCCCGGTCAATCATTGCCATCGACCTCAACATCAACACCAAAGCCGAACATTCATGGTTCGAAGATCATGCTCTGTATCTGGTGGGATCAAAAGGGTGTTGTTTACTATGAGCTGCTGAAACCTGGCGATTCCATTACGGGCGATCGGTATCGGCTTCAATTGGTTTGTTTGAGCCGTGCATTGCGAGAAAAACGGCCGGAATACGAGCAAAGACATGATAAAGTTATTCTTCTTCATGACAACGCTCGGCCTCATGTCGCAAAAGTCGTAAAAAAATATTTGGAAACGCTCAAATGGGATGTTTTACCGCACCCGCTGTATTCTCTGGACATTGCTTCTTCTGATTACTGGTTGTTCCGAAAGATGCAGCACGATTTGGCAGGTCACCGGTTCATTTCTTTCGCAGAAATCGAAAATTGGCTCCAAAACTTGGATCGCCTCCAAAGACGAGTCATTTTTTCGAGATGGAATTCGATAATTGGTTGAGAGATGGGAAAAAGTAGTAGCCAGCGATGGACAATACTTTAATTAATCTGTTCATTCATTTTGTTTTGAAATAAATGCATTTTTGAACACAAAAAAACGGATCGAACTAATTTGTACTCCTGATATAATCTCGGAAGCCACACAAATATTAATTTAATATATAATTCAATTTTATGTTAAACTGCAACTGATCTAAAAGTGGTTCTTTTTTCGTTATTGTAATATAATATTACTTTGCTATTAAATTATATATTATTATTACGTTTTCATTACGATATATTATTATTAAAATATAATAATTTTTATATGAACAAACAAATGTTTTACCATGATTGTATCCAGACCGCTTTTATCATTAATTAGTACAGATAATTGGCATTCAAAAGCAAATAACTCTGGAATCACATTTCGTATTGATTAAGAATGACTGGCGTTGGATTTACTTAAATAAAATGAGTGTTTATTTTTATCCTCTCCTTCATCTCCTTTCTTTTCGCGAATCAATCCGGATAATCGACTTTTCGCCACATAATCATTTTTCTTGATATAACACTTCAGATTGATAAGGACTGGCACTGGACTTGAATGAAATAAAAGTATTTACTTTCACTCACTCACTTATCATCTGTCCTCTCAGTGGTCATGCTTGCACAAGTAGAAATATAGATCGCACAAATCGAACTCTGAAGAGGATTGTAAAGCACAGAGTTGGCAGAGCGGCAAGCTTGACGTGGTGGTATCTTTTGTTAATGGCATTCGGAGGAAGTTGTTGTAAAAAAAAGAATGCGGTTCTCAAAAGATTAGAAAAGAGCATTAAAAAAGGGTGCGCTCGCTGAAGCTTAGCTGCACTCCGCGTATCGGCTTTTCCGCACTACATATATTTTTTTATTTGTAGGTTTCAAGAATTTTTTATTTCTCGTTGCGCGTTTCGTGTTTTTATACTGTTTCAGAACACATGTGTCTCTAGAAAGAAATCTGTGCTGGAAAATATTTTGCTTGAAAGAATTTTGTGGTCAGTCAAAAGTTTATAAATATATAAATATCAATTTCTTCGATGTTTTTATAAATTGTTTTTATAAATTGTTTTTATAAATTGTTGTGCATATTTTAACAAACGCGCGTTACACACGCACCATTTAATTTTTTAAGTGGGAAAGAATATAAAATATGTGCTTATCAAGATACACAACAATTGATAAAAATAGTGTCACAAATGTAACACGACGCGGTTTTTGAAATTGTATATAATAATATTATTCTTTTCACGGTTTTTGTGTGTGCGAGAATAACTTCGCAATGACAGCCGCTCACGATATGAACTGAGCGCAACGAAAGAATCAATCGGCATCGCGGCAACAATGAACCTCGATACTATCGAAATATATCGGTAACGTGTCCTTTTTAAAAGATATTGTTATTTTCACGTTTCTTGTGCGTGAGATAATAACTGTCAAAAACTTCGCAATGACAGCCGTTCACGATATGAACTAAGCGCAACCTTAGAAATTGAAGAAAAGCGACAACAATGAACCTCGATGCTATCGAAATGTATCGTAACATGCCTTTTTTAAAAGAGGAAATAAAATAATTAAAATAAATATGTATATAAAAATATATTAAATATACTCTCAAAACATTATTTTAATTTATTTTTCGAAGGAATAACGATATAAGTATATCATATCTTTTCATGTAATTGGAAAGATTTTAAATGTGAAAAATCATGATTAAAGATGTCAAGCTATTACCGTCTCTATCGTCTTTTTGTATGCAATTTATATGCAATATTTAAACTTCTGAATTTACGGCAAGACAAAAATTTTTTATCACGAGCTCATAAAAGCTCATAAATCGTGAAAAGTGACATGTAAAACGCTATTAATCAAGTAACTTCTGGGTTCAAAAATCTATCGCGGTAGTCTTGTAATCTTCTTCGGACATGCCTGTTTGTCGTACAACTCTCTAAGGAATAAGATTAATTAACTCTAACGGAGCGGCATTAACACGACTGTGCGAAGGTGGGATCGACGAATGACGAGTGGGGAAAATACGATTCATGATAAATCGGTAAAGATAAGATAGCGGCGACAGTGACGATTCAGTGGGTGAATGATGAATGAACATCGAGTAAACAGTGAGGGAATAAATCTTTCGATGGAAAAGTCTCACTGATTATTGAAAAATTATCTTGTTTTTAGTTATATATATATCTTAAGTGTGCTATTTGCAATGTTTTACAGAGCAATTTGTAACTGGAAATAAAATGTTTGCAGCAAATTTATTCTTTGAATTTCAGACATTTTTCTGCTACAAAAGTGTCATATAGGCATAATTCTTCAATTCTATCTACAATCAAAAAAACATTTTTTTGCTAATTAAGTTTTAGAAATGTAAATCGATATACATAAAATTTTATTTCTTGTTAATTCTGTTAAAAAGAGTTTCTTTTAACAGAATTTTGATCTCTTTAAGATGCTTAAAAAATTGTATTAAATAATATTTCTTCTTGACCGAAACACATTTTGATAAAAATTTTCATAAAAATAAGACATTTTCATGAAAATTTATGTGCCAGACGTAATTTATTCTTAATGCTTCTCACACGACAGTCGCGAATTACTTGTGCCTTTGAAATTAGAGGTAGATAGAATAACATCGCGCGCTGGAATATTTAGCATCATAAATCATAATTATAAAATTTAATTATACAGATAATTAATAGCCTCTTAAAAATGATAATCAGAGCGTTTTTTTTTATGTTAGTGTCTCCTCATTATTTCAAGAAAATGTAATGATAATTTCAATTGATAAAATAACTTTTAAATTATGGGTTTAATTTACAAAATGAGAAGATGAGAAGATTAATATACTACAATTTTCGTATACATATTTTAACCAATTGTTTTATATTGTAATATTTTATATTATCTTTTATAATAAAAGGTACAAAAAATATCGCAAACGGATACGTAATTCAATTCTTTTATAAAATACAATGGTAAAATGTATATAAAATTGTTAACAAAAAGTTTTATTTAGTTTCTAGTATTCGATATCTTATATCTTTGTAACTAATTTTGAAATAAAAATTCTATTATAGAAACTTTCAATTATTTGCTTTGCTTCCCAATTTCGTTTTTCAATCGTTTACAATTTTGAAACTATCGATGCCTCGACATTTTCGTTACTTAGACATTTACAACAAATTATAAAATACGTATAAATTTTTTGCTTGCACACAAACTTATCGCGAAAGAATACGTGAAATGCGTGTACAGGCAGGTAGAATATTTCGGTCTTTTTAGATTGAGCAATTTTCGCATCGTGCAACGCAGCGTGACCGGCGAGCACACCTCTCGCGCGCGGACTTCGTTAAAACGGCGCAACCTCAGTTCCGCAGAGTCCGCCGTCGCGTTCGCATCCTTTCGCGTCGAAGGAGGTCTCGGTGTTATTCCGTCGGGGTATATTTACCTCCGTGCATCGTAACGATCCTAAGAAACGGCTGTCGCGACAGCCTGTCAAGTGTCACATATTCGATTCATACTGCATCGCGAAAGTGCTTTGAGAAAACACAGGTCGGAAAGATCGCGTTAAAAACTTTACGAAGTCGGCCAAACTTCGTGTCGTCTACGCGGAAATCTAATCTTCAGCTTTCCGTTCGGCAAAAATTCGTGTGCGACTGCTGTCATCGGCAAATACTCATCTATGATTTTCCGGCAAACACAGGTAAATAGTTTTACATGCATGTCAGAATTTTTTTGATTAATGATTTAAAGATAAAGAAAAATTTGGAGAGAAAAATTGATTTTAGGGTTGCGTTGCTGCAGTTCTAAAACAGCGATATATTATTGATAAACATTAAAAATTCTTAGATGTTCAATTAAATAGTTACCAACATAGTTAATATGGGACTGAAATCGTAGTTAGTAATTATTTGTTGTGTATAATTACTGGACTAACTGTAAATATGCATAACTCCACCAAACAAGCGCACTAAATTAATATATTAACTGAACTTTAATGGAAGATATTATTCCAGTATTTATACGCGTAATATTGCATTTACCTTGTCGTTCAACTTACTTTTGCAATTTTTTATGTATTTTGTTATGTAAAAAAGAGTTGTGATATATGAAAAACAGTACATCTAGTCACAAATAGTTTGACGTGCAATAGAATCACCAAACATACGCAGTAATTTATTTTTTGCAATAATTATTTTCCACTTATATTTTCTTTTTGAGTTTTCTTTAAATTACACTGTAAAAATTATTTAGATTAGAAGTTTCACCGAAAGATTGAAAGTATACGGAAAATGTGAGCTAAGTTTGATATAAATCTACTTAAATATTGAATTATAATTATGTGAAGAAGATAACAGTCTCTCTCGCGATGCAAAAGCGTAAAAGATATTTTTGATACTTTTTGCAGTCTCATTTCCGTCGATGAAAAGAAAATTAAAAATGCATCCGAAAAATCCGCTTAAATATTCAATTATAGACGCGTACGCGGGAAGTGAGAGACTGATCTTGAGGCGCGGTGCAAGTTTTCACTTAAGAAAGACCATTACTGTTACGAGTACCGCGGGGAAGACAGCCACGTGACGTTTCACCGTGAAATAGCTAAACGTGACCGTACCTTCGCGGGTAACGTTTAAAGTTCCATTGCGCATTTCTGCATTTATATCTTTCAACGGCGAGCGCGGGACGGTAAAGGAATGCCGGTAAACATTACGCAGCCACTTTTCGCAAAATCAGACTGGATTTAATGTTTTGGCAATCAGCCCAGTTAACAATCACTTCAAATGTGCGGTATAACGAGTGTGCGATGCACGCGACGATAAATCAACGTGAAGCGACATTACGAGACCTGATATCATAAGTCCGCGACGTTCGTACTTGAAGCGAAAGTAGATGTGATTTTTCATATGCCAGATGGTGCAGAATCAGCTCGTTTGTTTCCCATTATACAGACTGAGTGAAACAAAAAACTTTATGTAAGAAGAATTTATTCCATATCTTTTATTTCCTTTTTTTTTAAAAAAAAGATAGTTTTTGTTACGAGAATTATTCTTTTCCCATGTTTATTCGATAACAGACCATTCTCTGTATACTGAAAGTCAGGTTAATTCCAGATAGGTACACGTGCACAAAAGGATGCGGAAATAGTGTTCGCTTACACTCACACTAGACGGTCCAATTTCCTGTGATACTTGAGAAGCACATCTTTCCGCTTGCATAGTTAATTGCACGGTTCAACTGCCTCATGTTCGTAAGAAACGGAAAAACTCGATAAAAACGCTTTTGTAAATATAAAAGCTTTTATCAAATCCCTCGATAGAATTTATATTTCAATAAACTAAAAGTAGATTTGTTTAACTTGTAACAAAAAAAAAAAAAAAAAATACGAAAGTGTCATCTCAATTATTCTCGACAGGATCGAAAGAGTTTTACAAATAGACGTCTCTTGTTTGTATTACGATACAATAAAAAAGAGAAAGGGTGTTCAACAGAACTTTAGCATCTCTTTTACTAGCGCTTTCGGTGATTAAATCGAAAGTAACGATAGAAAGTTTTTGAATAAAGCACTAATTGCATCGGCATATATTAAGATTGAAAGAACTATTTTGCTTATAAACTAAAGACTAAAGTAAACTAAAAGATAAAGTTTTTAAATTAGAAGTCTTAAATATTAATTTTGAGAAATATAATATCTCGGTAACTAATTAAATTAATTCAGAATTAGTTTTGATAACTATTTGAAACTCGGTAGTCATTAAAAAAGTAGAGGATAAAATTTCTTGGTATTTTCTCATCAAGCAAATGTAAATAATACTGTTTTGATAATTTTTAAATGAGAAAATTGTTACGAGTTTTACATGAGAAAAATAACTGCGGATTAAAAAAACGCGAGATCACTGATTCTTTCACACGCTACAAATTAATATTCTTTCAAATATTCTTTCAGATATATAAAAAAATTTTAAAGTATAAAAATCGTTCATTACTGTTATTTTCAATAACAAATTTGTAAACAAACAGTCATCAGTAATATTACTACGCAAAAAGTAAAATTTATGCTGAATTAACGGAAACTATATAGGTATAATTTTACAAGTTTGTGATATTTGCAATCAGTGTCTGTTGACAAAAGTGTTCAGCATTAATAATTCTCGTTCCGCACACTATTAGAAATGAAGTATTTTCCACAAATTAAACGTAGAAACGCAAATAGAACGTTATTTGCCATTCAATGTAAAAGCTTATTTTACGGATGAGTGATGTTTATGCGCTACAGATAGAAGTTTTTGAATTGTAACGTCAAAAAAATGTGTGTGTATGTGTGTGTGAGGCTAACTAAATATAAACAACTATTTCATATTATAATTATAGAAGTTTTTTTGCCAATCAAACTGCAGATTCAACAAAAGAGCTAATGGACGGTACAAACAATCACTGTTACTGCAACGTACGTGGAACGCATAGAAAAACGCAGTCACAATTATTTTACGCTCCAACGTGGTTAGCGACTGCATCATATGAGTCTACTTAATAAAGTTACGACGGTAGCTTTTTGACGAAAAATCGTGACTTGCTAAAATCGTTCGGCTATATTTCACCCCACGTTTCTCATCATAATTCAATATGTCTGGCATCCGCCGACCTATTTCACCGCTGGCTACTGAGCTTTTAGCGGCATCGTGCAAAAAGCTTTATTGAAATTACTCACAAACAAGGTAAAAATGCCCTACATACCAGCCAGATTTATTAGTTCTACACTAATCACCGTAAAATAATGATGTCGTAAATTAACTGCGACAAGCCTTAATCGACTGCACTCTTTTTATTTGCGCCCCACTGCAGACGCTTTCAGTTTCTGCCGGACGGCCATATTGTACGGCGTTTGTACTTCCAAACCATTAAAACTTTTAATTCGTGAATTAATCACTAAAAATATCGAACGTCGAAATTTGGAAAGCTGCACAAACATCCCATCCTGATAGCAAAAATTAATCCTGTATTTCACGTGGGATAAAAATACGTCCATTTTTCCCGGCTGATTCTGGAACGCTCTGTATAGGTGCTGATTTATTTGAAACATTATACGCTATATGATCGTTATTGCTTCGCGCTCTTGCCTCCCACCATTATTTCGCCCGCTGCTTTTCAGCGTAGATGCCGATTGGCTTTATTTGCCGATAACCATAATTTCATTTTCCTGTGTCACCCACGCGATTTGAAGGTTCATTATTAGATCGATTTAATTAAACATCTATAATGTTTATTAATGTTTATTAAACGCTGCTCCGTAAGTTAACAGTTAATATAATTGGTTTGGCAATTTATATAAGTTTCAATCTTGCCTTGTTATTCCAAGAATGCTAGAAGTGCTTCCAATAATGGAAACATTGCTGGGATGACTGAGGAAATGCAGAAAGCATCTACTTTGAAGAAGATAACATTATTTAAATAACCTCGAGAATGTATTGCATTGAATTTAACTTCAAATATGTCTCTCTTAATTCTTGCTTGTACGCAAAATCAATGAACAATTAGAAGATTTCATTTTAATGCAATTTTTTTCTCCTATTTTTTTCTTTTGTGTTTATTGATAAAAGCAATATTCCATCTAAAAGGCTTTGAAATAAAGTTAGCAGAAGTCAAAGGCTAAAAAATATCGTATTATTAATTTTATCGATTTTTAAATATTTTTAGTTGAGAATTAATCATGTGTAATTCGTCCATAAAAGCTCAATTATTGAAATATATATGTGATAAATTCAATCTAACAGAGTCTGAACAAAAGTTCAATGAATGTTTAGCAGGTTTAGCCTCGAACTACTCGTATCCGACGTCTTCGGCAGGAATATTCAGCTATTGACATATCGTAGTGCTGTTGGAAACAAGCCTGTGGCTCTATCGAAGTGCTCAAATACAAAAAGTGGAAATATTACGTCTTACGCGGCATAAGAAACGGACGATTGGATTTCCAGACTGTGTTCCTTATTGTGAGCAGACAAAGCTGATTACAATCGCGCTTTGAAAAGCGCGGTGGAATGCATAATTCTTGCTTCAAAGAATTTCTACGCTAAGGTCGTGTGGGTACAGTCATGGCCGTGGAAAGAAGAGGGAACAGAGAATTACGAACTTTGAGAACGGCTGATTGCTGCTGAGAGATAGTTTTAAAGACTTTTGTATTCGTAAGGATCCGCGTAATTCCTGCCCGCGCGTTCACGATTTTATCCGAAGACTCTATCTGTGTGAAAGACATTTATTTTATTTATCTACGTTAGTGCCAGCATGACTCGTATCAATGTTCGGTTTGACAAGTGATTTATCTGCTTCGAGTTCCTGCTGTGCGATACAACGTCAAAAACGAATCGCGCTTAAATCGTTCACGCGACATGCAACATCGCCGCGCGGGCGGCGATTTGTGGGACTTTTGAATATATCACGCGGAAGATGCAGTAATATCGCGGCGGTGTAAGAGAATTGGAAACATGAATCTCGCCGTTCTCGAATCGATGATCGTCGCCTGGCTGGCATCGGCGACGCCTCGTTCGAGCGACGCGCTCGACGAGACGGCTGATTACTACTCGCTTATGGACGACGGGGATTTCGAGTACAACAACGCCACGAACTGCACCAACGACTATTGCATCCCGGATGAGGACTATATCGGGCTGATGATGCAGCACATATTCCCGAAATTCTCCGACTGGGTGTTAATCGGAATGCACAGCGTCGTTTTCGTGATCGGCCTGATCGGCAACGCGCTCGTCTGCATGGCTGTCTATCGGAATCACTCGATGCGCACCGTGACCAATTATTTTATTGTCAACCTGGCGGTGGCCGACCTCCTCGTTCTGCTAATCTGTTTGCCGCCGACGGTTCTCTGGGACGTCACGGAAACCTGGTTTCTCGGATTAAGGCTCTGCAAGACGGTGCCTTATCTCCAGGTGAGTGTCATTTAATTTCTTACCCTGAGAATCATCGAAAATGTTTCCGCATCGTTCTCGGATCGACTTCGAATCGAATCGATCGTGGAAAATTTCTGACACACATTACAAGTAGATTTTTACTGAATTAAAATCTATTTCTATATACTATTATAAATTTTCTACTATAGTAGAAAAAATTTAAAATAATAATTTTTTCTATACACGTTACATCTAAATATATTTTTTGAGACAATTAACGCTTTGATTTTGTAATAATGTAAAAAAATTTAAGTAATGAGAAACATCTCATTACTTCTCACCGTCTTACGTTCTGTAATTTAAATGAACTCATTACGCCTCTAGTATATCTGGTACCCCTTTTCGAGGAGAATTGGAGAGGTACTTGGTTTAGCAAATTGCTCTTTGTCTGCGGTTGACAAATAGAGATTATCCCCTTTCGGCAATAGATTCTCGTACGACCTACTTGAGCACAGCCTAGTGATTCTTGGATTTCGCACTCAGACTGCTACGTTGAGAAATAAAATTACTTCAAAAATTAAATTCGTGTGAACGAGGTAATCAAACAAAAAATAAAACAAAAATCGAATTCATTTTCTAAAAATCTTTCTATAAATTTCGACAATTTCAATTAAATTTCAAGATATCATAAATTTATATATTCCGAAATTAGATAGATTAACTGTGCTAATTGATCTTACGTTCATCTTTTAAAGTATTTTACTTATTTAAGAAATTAAAAAAATTTTTTATTATTAATGTCAATATATTTTGATATTGGGTTTCTTTTTATTTGATTACGCGAGCTTTTAGTTACGAAAGATCTTGTCGCGAATGATTTGAATAGTCCACATGCTACAGATACATTGTAAATAACGCTATAACATATATAATAAATATCTTTTCATCTCAAGGACACTTTTATCTATCTTTTTACTATCAAGAGATATATTTTCTCACTTTCTAAAATTTTTAGTACGGATGTGGCGATAAAAAAGTCCTCTAAGGTAATATATATATATGAGAGTTTCTTGAAGTAGAAATGATAAGGATCCGAAATAAAAATCATCGTAATGTGAGACCCGGCGATTTCCACCTATGTGTATGTTCTAAGAAATTTACGGTTTAATCTCCGCTTTTGCTACTGGATTTAATACCTCGGAAGACAGACTCACACACAGATACGGCGGTTTGAAACGCACACGATGAAACCGACAAGAAGTGGCATTCGACACCGCGGGGAGATAACACGTGGCATTTTCCACAGATTTAGAAAACCCCTTGATATTCCCAAACGCGCGTCCTCGTCCTTCTCGGAATTCACAATTTCCGACAGGAAGCCAAGCGGAATACACTTTGCAAAACTGGTTTCCACCTCCAGTGGTACTTTTACATATTTTTATTCTATTTCGACATCGATCGCTACAGCAACCATGGTTCTATAGTGAAATTTAAAAAATTCTAAAATGAAATTGTAAATGTGTGTGTGTGTGTGTGTGTGTGTGTGTGTAACATTTAAAATTTTCATGGAAATGGAAATCGCCTCACGAATAATGTTATTTAAAAAATGAGCAGCTGATCTCTTAAAATACATAAATTTTTCGTCTCTTTCTTATAATCACATTTGATCGAAGGAACGATTTTGTGTCTCAGACGAGAAAAAAGTATGGCTTTATAGCACACCTACGTGCTGTATGTGGAAACTTTGTATGCTAGGATCGCGTTATACTTTTTAAAAGATATTTCACGCTCAATTTATTTTGGCATTTGGCCCGAATCTTGTATCAACTGTATCAGCATTTGCATATTATTAACATTTTAACTCTTTAACGAACTATGGTCACCAGTGGAGGTCAAATTACGCTTGCCGCAAGTATAATTTAACCGTTATACGTATCTAGATGGACAGTGGTGCAAAATCGACCGCAGCGATCCTGCGGGAAAAAAATACTTATCGGCGAAACACACTATTATACATTACTGTCGTGCGTTCCATTGTGAAAATTTAAAAAAAGATCGTTTAAAAAATAATTTCCGCGAGATATGAATATAAAAGTGCTGATAAAATATGAACGCTACAAATTAACGCGTTCAAGACACTTTACTTGAAGCAGCGATTTGCATAATTGGCAATTCAGATAATCGACATTATCCGGCACTATCCTTAGACTCGTCCCACGGAAACTTAAATGCGCAGACGTAAAATTAATCCACGTGCAAAATTGTCTCCACCTAATTATGATACAGCATGACATAGAGACGTAAATTTACGGGAAAACTTTACTCCCGCCGGGACATGCAATGCTGATAAATCAGTTTGCGCAATAAAAATCCTTTTCAGAGTCTGTTAAGTTGATTACCATTTTACACACGAATTACGCTACTTTACGAGAATTGCTCTTTTGAACGAGTTTCAGTAATGTTTATTTGAGTGCATGGCTAACTTTGTTTGGTCAATGTATTGTAGCTTTTGCAGTGAAATTCTTCACAGAGAGCTAATAAATCTGAGAGTTAATTGACTTATTATAGAAAGCATACTTTCTACGCTTTGAGATTCTACGCTTTTAGTCGATGATTGTTATTACAAAACACGGTCGTGTAATTAAAGTTCTCGATTTATTGTGACAAAGCGGTCGTATTGTGTCGCAACACAACACGATAATCGTAATAAACCATATGAAAAGTCTTTTTCAATGCAAAAGAAAAGCAATTGTTACAGAAATTGCTGCTGTAGAACTAGTGAAAACACTAAGTGGACCGCAACTAACGCTTAAATATGTTGTTTTGAAATAAAGCTTATGGAGGCGCCGGTGCTAAAATTGGCAGCCAACAGCCTCACGTTTCCAAAAATTATGTACTGGGTATGTCTTGATAGCCATACCCCGCCACAACACCATTAAGATGCCATGACGCGCTATTGAAGTAGCGAGCACCCTTTTTGATGTGCTCGTCGCACACCGGCGTGTTATAAGCCTCGTGTCTTGAAAAATAAATGCGAGATAGCTACTACCTCATTCGGCCATCTGTTGCGTGTCTGACAAACTACTACATTGGAGAGCTACATATATATACTATATAGCATATATTACGACGACATAATTCCCTGTTATACTCAAATCTGAGATATCATTATTGATTTATTTTCTAGAAAAAAAACATTCAGCGTTTCATCTGATCAGGTTATGTTTTCAAATATAAGGATTAACATTAGTAATAATTAAATTTGTTAATAATAAAATGGATATTAAATGATAGAATAAGTAAAAGAGAAGAGTAAAGGAATAATTTTAAAAATGTATACGAATGTATTTATTAAAAGATAGATAAAATCAACTTCATATAAGATTCGCATGAAGTTTGGTTTGTTTTGTGTTTAATATCTTTCGGATTAACATTACCATATATATTAAAAAAGATAAATATGCATTCTGAATATAGATTGCAAGAAAGAGCTTTTGGTAATTTAAGTTTATATTGACGTTAGATTCAAATATAACGAATAAAAGATTTATTTAAAGAAATTAATCGTTTGCTGAAACCTTTTAAGAGAGAATTTTATACAACGCCATTAATTTGATTGAGTTATGCTATGTTGAGCACATGCAAAATATGTACATATTAATGTCCTCAATATCAAATACATCGAGATTGTATTTTATCAAAAGAAAAATATAGAAATGCAATATCACAATCCATACTTTTTTATGCAAAAATATTATAATTAATATGTACATATTAATATGTGTATCTTTAAAAAAGATACGATGGATACCTGTATTATTTTGCGAAATTCTGTATCGTTGAAACTCTGTATTGCAGTTAGTTTTTTAAACCATGATATTTTTGGCATTAAACTGATACCACGATAATTGACACTTCGTGTCAAGTTATAAAAATAATTGAGATAAAAAACTATTAAAAAAATGAATAGAATAAATGAAATGAAATTTTTTCAAATAAAAGCAGATTCTTTTTTAAATACGGGAAAGTAAAATTTTTTAAATAATCAATTAGCACGTAATTTTTTTTCTCTACTTTAATACTAAAAAAATAAGTACTTTATTTGTTGAAAAAGATAATAAAAAGATAATATTGACAAAGATAATAATCCTAGATCACTCATAAGTAATTCGATCACGTTATTTAAACGTTATTTAAACGATAAAATAATAGCATGATATATTAAAATGTGTGGTACATAAATTTAAATGCAAGTAGGACATATATATTCGTGAAGATAAGGATCTAAGCGTGCTGTGTATGAGCTATAAAACTCAATGACACAATCGAGATATTATTTCACCAATTCGTGACTTCTGTATATGCAACGCATTTGATGCGTGTTTTTTATCTTTCCATCTATGACCAAATATCATGTACGTCATAAATGACGTATGTTCTGATATATCGATCCCATAATGCAGAAAGTATAATACTGTCCGTATTGAATATTCATAATTAGCACGTGCACCTCTCAAGCGCGGTATAAATGCAAATTCATTATATGTATGGCTAAATTGATTAATCAGATAAGTCAATTATGTATGCTATCAACACGAGTACGCCTATAAAGCTTATACCATAATTCTTCCTAAATAACTTTTTATATCAAATTTAATTTATATCAGTATTTACGAATCATAATGTAAATTGTTGCAGTATTTCCAAATATTTGCAATTCTGATTAGCTACTTTGAAAATGATTAAGTGAATGTGTTAATGTAATTCTATATAATCAAATAATTAATAGTAGCTATATATAATTAAAACAGTTTTAAACCACGTTACGTTACGTGGTAAAAACGACACGTACTGCGACGTATGCAAATTGTTTTCTGAGCAAACTCAGTTAAAGTATCTATAAAAAACTTCAAAGTTAAGTACGGAGTAATGGAAGTGTGCAATATACATGTTCTAAAAGCGACGCGAGAATCAACTTATGAACACTTTCAAGTGCATCGTAGCGAAATTCGTCGCGGCCCTAATCGATTATTATATCG